GAAACCAGATTTTTCTCTGACGGTGCCTGTCTCAGAAATAATCATCAAAAACACAAAATGTAAGTGGGTGAAAACAGGAAACAACTAGGGACTTCAATGCCTGTGCCAACAACTGAGAATTGGCGTCTCTGACTCCGACGGGGTGTGTAAAATCATCTAAAGAGTCCCCGACTGGGAACAGGAATATTCTCTAAGACCTTGACAAGTCCCATTAGTTCTCTGCATGTGCAGCCCATGTGATGGGGAACTCACTACCTTCTGAGACTGTCCATAGGAAACTCCTCAAATTCCCTAAGGTGTTTCCTGCTGTTTGCCAGCTGGTAAATGTAATTTTCTAACAACTACATCTTCTAATTGAGACCAGACCCCAATATTATAGGAACCTTTATGACCACATGGCTGGCTGAGGGGAAAAGTGATAACCAGACAGGTCTGTGGAACATGTAAGTAGATCTTGGGCATCTTGGAAGCAGAGAGGTGGGACAACACCCTGTTAAGAGTGAGTTTCAGGGACTTCCCTGGTAGTCTGTCCAGTGGTTAACACTCCGTGCTCCCAATGCAGGGGGCCCAGGTTTGATCCCTGGTCAGGGAACTATATCCTGCATGCATGCCGCAACTGAGTCTGCATGCCACAACTAAAGATCCCGCATTCTGCAACTAAGACCTGGCACAGCCAAAATAAATAGATTAAATAAACTTAAAAAAAAAAAAAGGGTGAGTTTCAGAACCACACAAACCTCGATTTGAGTTCTGCTCTGCCACTTAGCTGTGTCCTTGGGCAAATCACTTAACCTCTTAGCCTCAACTTTCTCATGTGTGGAATGGAATTAATCATATCTCTGGGAATTCCTGGTGATCCAGTGGTTAGGACTCTGCTCTTCCACTGAAGGGGGCATGGGTTCGATCCCTGGTCGGGAAATTAAGATCCTGCAAGCCACGCGGTGAGCCAAAAAAAAAAAAAAAGCATATCTCCTTCACATGAGGATCAAATGAAATAAAGCCTGGAAAACACCTGGCATCCAGCATCTCCACATAGTATTTGTTTAATAGACTGGAACGGGGACTTCCTGGTGGCACAGTGGTTAAGAATCCGCCTGCCAATGCAGGGGACATGGGTTCGAGCCCTGGTCCGGGAAGATCCCACATGCCACGGAGCAACTAAGCCCGTGTGCCACAATTACTGAGCCTGTGCTCTAGAGCCCGCGAGCCACAACTACTGAGCCCGTGTGCCAGAACTACTGAAGCCTGCACGCCTAGAGCCCGTGCTCTGCAACAAGAGGAGCCACCGCAATGAGAAGCCTGTGCACCTCAATGAAGAGCCACCCCCGGTCCCCACAACTAGAAAAAGCCCAGGCGCAGCAATGAAGACCCAACGCAGCCAAAAATAAATTAATTAAAATATATATATATTAAAAAAAATAGACTGGAGCGGATATTTCATGGGAAGGGGCATCCTACAGGGTGGGAGCTCAGGCATTCTTATTCAAGTGTTGAAGGGAAGAGTGACTCTGGAACTTGGGGACATCTGGACTGACAATTTGTTTCCCCAAGCCAGGTAATTTCTATTAGTGGGTTTTGCCCAAAGAGTCAGCACTCAGGAAAGTTCCTGGTTGAGATGTTGGTGGCTTGGAACTGTGTTTCTGGAGTCCACCGAGTTCCTGGGGGGCCGTCCCGACCTTATGAAAGTTAGAACAAGCTTAACTGTACAAGCCACACTTTTTACCTTCCAAAACATGTTCACACTCACTTGCTCATTTGATCTTCAGGTTATGCTGTGAGATGAGCACAGATTTTGATCCTCATTTAGCAAGTGAGAAAACTGAGGCTCAGAGAAGGGAAGTAATATTTGAGTTTTGGGGTTTAGCTGCTGAGAAAGCAGTTGTGGACTCCCACTCTACCCATCACCATTTCCTAGTTCTTGAATCTTCCCTCTGGTGCCTGGGGCAAGACACTGCTTGGTGTCTCAGAGCATCAGCTTCCTTTCCTCCTCCCTAGATGCCTTTCCAGGCTCCTGCAACTCTGTGGGTGAAGTATCTATACTTCCTCCAGCACTACCAAGTCCACTGTTCCTGCATTCTCTCTTGCTCACCCTTTCAACAAACACTAGCTGAGGACCAATATACTGTGTGCCAGGCCTGGTGCTAGGTGCTTGGGATAGAAATGAACAAAACACAGCCCATACCTTCGAGTTCACAGACTGGGTAGGGAGAAAACACATCATCAGCTAACTCCAAAGCTGTGTGATATACAAAGAGATGGAGTGAGAGCGTCTGGGGATCCCAAAGGACGACTGCCAAACCCTGTCTGGGATGTCCTTTTTGGCTTCCTGGAGGTGTCATTTGAATTTTCCTAAAGGATGAGTAGAAGTTAGCCAGGCAGAATCCAGTGGAGGCAGGAACATGTTCAGGTCTTGTGAGCAGTATGGGGATAAGTTATGAGAGCTGATGCTGGGGCTCAGCGGGGACCAGATCAGACAGGACACTGGCTGTCAGGCTAGGATGTCTGGGCTCTCTCTGTGGGCAGAGAGGAGCCACTCCAGGATAGATGCTGGGTCAGATTTGTGATTATAATGGAGTATGCTGCGGACACAAAAGACTGAATGGGGGACTTCCCTGGTGGCGCAGTGGTTAAGAATCCACCTGCCAATGCAGGGGACATGGGTTCAATCCCTGGTCCAGGAAGATCCCACATGCCGCGGAGCAACTAAGCCCATGCGCCACAACTACTGAGCCTGCGCGCACAACTACTGAAGCCTGCGCACCTAGAGCCCGTACTCTGCAACAAGAGAAGCCACTGCAATGAGAAGCCCGCGCACCGCAACGAAGAGTAGCCCCCGCTCACCGCAACTAGAGAAAGCCTGCGCGCAGCAACAAAGACCCAACGCAGCCAAAACTAAATAATTAAAAAAAAAAAAAAAGACTGAAGGGAATTAGTAGCCTGTGGCAAAGAAAAAATGCGGTGAACAGGGAGAATGGAGAGGATGGGATGGATCCCACAAATATTTAGGGAACGATATTGATGGGACCAGGAGGAAGACTGGATGTAGGAAGTGGGGGAAGGGGTCAGGGATGGTGCTCAGGATTCCAGCTGTGATGATGGGGTCCAGGGTGGACAACCTAGGGTGGTGGGTGGGACAGAAAATGTTGGTTTCACTGCACAGAGAAGCGGAACACACCCAGGTCAGGGACTCAGTACTATGTGTGTCAGTGGTGTTCACCAGAGCTCCAGTGCAGCCTTCCCTGCTCCTGTGGGGAGGCTGCTAGCTCAGAACCTGCAAGCCGAGGCCAGCTCAGAAGCTGAGCTGCTAGTGTCACAATCTCCTTCCATCATAAGAAGACTTACCTCTTGGGCCCTTACTTTCTAATCTATAAAGTGAGGAGGTTGAGAAATACCAGAAGCAAAAGACCCTGGTTCATAAAGCTTTGAATCTTGCCGGACTGGCAGGTCCCCACTCACTGACTGTTATCTCACAGTTTCTTTTGCTGGTTCTCCCCGCTCCAGGTCACCTCTAAATGCTAGCATGTGCTAGGGCTCAATCAGTCTCCTCCTCTGCTCAGTCCCTACAATAGCACTTCTCAACTCTAGCGTGCACACAAATCACATGCAGATCTCATTGAAATATAGACTCTGACTGAGCAGGTCTGGGGATGGGCCTGAGATTCTGCACTTCTAACAAGCTCCCGGGTGATGCGGATGCTGCCGGTCCATGGACCACACTATGAAAGTCCAGCTTCCTGGCTCGACAAACTTTCTCCAAACTAATGACTCCCAAATTTATACTTCCAATCCAGACCTCTCTCCAGAACTCCGACTTCTAATTACAACTCTTGGTTGACACCTCCATTTGGATATCTTAAGGCATCTCCCAGAGTTCTCAAACCTGCTTCCCCCCAACTTCTCCTTCAGTACTCAACTGCTCAAGTCAAAAACCTACGAGATATCTGTGTGTCTCCTTTCTCTCTTAGCCTCTACATCCAAACTGACAGCAAGCAAGTGCGGTCTACTTTACCTCCGAAGCATATCCTGACCCTGTCTTCTCCCTCCCCATCTCCACTCCCACCACCCTAGTCCAGGCGACCTCCTCTCTCGTGTGAGCTACTGCAGAAGCCACCGACCTGGCCACCCTGCTTCTTGCCTGCCCTCTCCCCGCATCATTTCTCTACATGTTAGAGTCGTCTTTTTAAAATATAAATCAAATCATGTCACTCTCCTGCTTAATTAAATTCTTTTAGGAGCTAGCATCTCATCTAGAATTAAATCCTAACTCCTTACTCTGGCCTACATAGCCCAGCATGCCTGGCCCTGGCCCTGACACCACAGCCCTGTCAGCTTCTCTCCAGTCCCTGAGCATGGCCAGCCTGTTTCCTCCTTGGAGCCTTCGTCCTGACTCTGCCCTCTGCTTCCTGGTCCTGCCTGGGCCCTTCTCATCATTCAGATCTCAGCTTGTGGGTCACCTCCCCTGAGAGGCCTTCCCTGATCACCTCATCTCTCATCCCAATTTAACTCCGCATGTCTCATCAGTAGCTGACCTTTGTTTACTTGTCTGCTTCCCCACTGGAAGTAAGACCCAGGAAAACAATGACCTTGTTTTCCACTTGGTTCACCAGCATCTGGAACAGGGCCAGCATAGGTACTCAGAAAAAAATTGTGTTAGGAAATGTCATTCCCCCTCTGGGCCTCAGTTTCCCCATCTATTAAACAGGGATAATAATATAATAGCATCTTCCTCACAGGGTTGTTAAGATTAAGTGAGAAATACGTGTAAGGCCCTGGCACTTGGTCACTAGTGGCTAGTAATCCCATTACTACGATCAATACCATATTGGAATCCCTGACAGGAATGTGTGGGCAGAGCCAGCGGGACTCCCACATGCTCCCCAACTGAGCTCCAAGCAGCTGGGCCAATTGGCCCTGGCCCACTACTTGTCACTGCCAAAGTCCTCAACACCCAATAGCAGAGGGAGGGCAAATCCAGGGATGACAAGCGGAGACAAGCGAGCTTCAACTCAACTGTAAGTTTATTAGAAAGGCTGTGGACAGATGAACCCTGAGTTACCAGCTGAGGAAGGAATGAAAAAAGCCCCTGCCCCTCTTGGCCTGCCCCACAGGCCTCCTGTGGACTCTGTCCTGTGGCAGACTCCAACAGAAGTCAGCCAAAAAGTGCTTTCCAGATGCTCCTTCAGGGGCTGCCCGACCTGACTGCAGAGGACCCAGTGGTACGGCCAATGTGGATGCTGGTGCCTGGAGCTGGGAGCCGCGGGGCCTTGGTCCTCTCCTCTAGCAGAAAGTGGTTCCAGAAGCCCCAGCAGAACAGAAGAGAAAAGGAGCCGATGGGGATAGAGCAAGTTCTGCCGAAGAGCCAAGGGCTCTGGAAGGCGGTGCTGGGCCGCCTTGGAGGTGGGTGCAGACGGCTACACATGGCCAGTTGTAGGGGTCCCCCCAGGGGGACCCCGAAGCTGCTCTAAGGAGTCTCAGCTACAGACAGCCCTAGTGCGACTCAGTGCCCCTCCTGGGGCTGCACTGGCTACTTCTGCTCCCAGAAAGGCAAATGGATCTTGTAAAAACCCATGGTAGGTGGTTGGTGCCATTTCTGTCTTAAAAGAAGACAAGAGTTTGTACAGTGAATCGATTTCAACCAGCAGAGCCTGAACCGAGAAGAGTGCGTCCTGGGGGAGGAGAAGGCACTTCTTACGTCCTCCCCGGGGTGATCTGGGCCCCCTCGGGGCTCCGCTCCCTCTGGCCCTGTGACTCAGGCCCGCTCCCTCTGGGAAGTACGCTGCCTCCGTCGAGCTAGCACTGCCCTGCGGCCCGGACGCTCTGGCCCCTCACAGGGTGGTCGATGGCAGCTTCCTCACCCGCCGCTGGGCCAGGATGGACGACTCGATGGGCTTCAGCTGAGGGGTGGGCTTGGAGCTGTTGAGCGCAGAGTATGTCGCTGCCATGGCTCCCTGGGGGAGGAGGTGGGAGTCAGTTCCCGGGTGGGAGGCGCATGTGCTCCAGGGCCAGGCCAGCCCCTCCCAGTGTTCCACAGCCCCCACAGGCCCCTGTTAATCCCGCCTTGGTGGTTCTTCATGGTCATCAGTCCTGCCTCATCCCTCAGACTGGAGGCTTCAGAGCTCAGGGGCTGGGCCCCCTAGAGGACCAGGGGGGCCACGAGTGCACTGTAGACACCCCTGCATGTCAGACTGGGGCTCCCTGGGAAGAGACACACATGGCATCTCCTGGCTCTGCCACCCCAAGTCCCTGCCCATGGAACCTTGACCTGGCAGCCTGGGTGTCTGTACCTTCACAGTCTGCAGGTCCTGGTGGGATAGTTGGCTCTGGGGGAGCTTGTCTTTCTGGGTGATCCACGGGTGCTGCAGGACCTGCTTAGCTGTGAGGCGCTGGTGCGGGTCCACATGCAGCATCTTGGATACCAGGTCCTGGGGGAACAGTAGGAAGGGGTTGGTGGGAAGGGCTAGCAGGGGCGCACACAGCTGTGTCTGTAAGGCAGCCATCTCCTGCCATCTCCCGCCTGGACCCTTGCAGTGGCCCCTTCGATCCACTCTCCACACCACGGCCTCCCCAAGCACATGCCCTTCTTCAGGACTTCTTCCTGGAAGGCCGTTTCCTTTCTCTTTCACCTTCTAGGAGCCATGCAGGAAGGTGGGAAGAACCTAAGGCTGGGGTTGGGCAGCTTCAAAACCTGACTCCCCTGCTCATCAACTGCATCTCCTGGGCAAGTTACTTTAACTCTCTGAGCCCCAGTTTCGCCTCTGAGAAACGGGATAACAAAAATACCTGACTCATAGGTTAATGCAAGGTGGCACTGTTCATTAAGGGCTCAACCTCTGTCTGACACAGAGGTTCCCATGACTGGAACCCATTGCTAACAGTGAAAGCTCAAACGTCCCCTCCTCTGAGAAGGCCTCTCTGCCCAGTAGCCCGGGGCTCTCCTCGTGTCTCCACTGCCTGTACCCCTGACCAGGAGGACCTGCCTCTCCGCACCTGGCATCTCTGTTCCTTGTGCGCAAGCCTGTCTCTCACCTCACACTAAGTTTTCCCACGGCAGGGGCTGTGATGATGCAGCCCTCTGTTCCCCTACAGGGCCCAGAACATGGGAAGGGCCAGTAAATGATCACCAAGTTGTTTTCAAACAAGGTGTGGGGGGCAGTCTGCCTGGGAATCTTTCACTTGGAGAAATAGGGCAACAGAGATTTGTGGGACATTCCACTTGGAGAAATGAGGCTGCAGGTCACCTGTTCGTGAAATGCTGAAAAGCCCTGGGATGGGACCCTGCCTCCCCCCCCCTCCCACAAATGAGCAGGGTCCAGGCTTTACAGCCTCACCTTGGCTGTGTCTGAAACCGTGTTCCAATTTCCCCCGCTGAGGGTGAACTTCCCACTGCCGATCCGGGTCAGGATTTCCTCTGGTGTGTCACTGGGTCCATTGGCAAATGGAGTGTATCTGGGGAAAAGTCCACCCAGTCTGGGTATAGCCTCTGGCCTCCATCCTGGGGCCAGGGGTGGGGAGGGGCAGGGGGCTGTGTCTCCCCCTTCAGATGGGGTGCTCCCAAGTGTGGGACTTCCTCCTGCAGGTGGAGCTCCCAAAGGCAGGGCCATGTCCCTGTCTTCAGCCTTCCTGAGGCAGGGCTGAGTCTCTCCCATCAGACAAGCACCACCCCAGCTACACTAGGGCTGGAGGAAGGGGCGGGGGGCTGAGGGGGGCAGGCCAGTGGGGTACTCACCCCGCCAGCATGGTGTACAGCAGAATGCCCAGGCTCCAGATGTCGCAGCCCTCGTCATAGCCCTGGCGCTTCAGTACCTGGCAGGAAGGGAGGCAGGGGAGGGTCTGTCTGAGGGGCAATGACAAGTGGCCCCATATGCTTGCCTGCTCCTCCCCAAAGGGTAGGACAAGGGTCCCAGGCCTGGGCTGATCCTCCCTTGGTCCCTGGGCCAAGGCCGCAGAGACGGGCTCTGGACAGCGTGGGGCCTCTGGAAGGGACATGAGGCTCCCCGTGCTAGGTCCCCTCACTCTTGCAGCTGAGGAGGCCAGGCCACTCACCTCCGGCGCCACGAAGTTGGCGGTGTAGCAAGGTGTCATGAGAAGCCCGTTCTCAGCCCGCAGCTGCTTGGCAAAGCCAAAGTCGCAGATGCGCAGGCACTCAGGGTTCCCAGACTCGTCCACATACAGGATGTTGCTGGGCTTGAGGTCCCTGTGCACAACCTGGGGGAAGAGGGCCCGGGTCAGTTCTCCATGTGGGCAGGCTGCCGGTGGCCCAGGTCCACTGCCAGGGATGGGAGAGTTAGAAGACGGGCCCAGAGAGGGGGCAGAAGGACCCAGAATCTGAGAGGGGAAGGGGCTACAAAGGGGCCTTAGTGCTGCTGGTATTGCCGACTTGAAACTTCTAGGTCAATGTCTGTGAGGCAGCTCTAACTTGTCCACACAGAACTCCTCAAATCCGCCATCACACAATCTTACCTAATGGCAACTCCATCCTTCCCATTGCTTGGATTGAAATCTTAAGAGTCATTCTCAATTCCTCTTTTTTTCTCGTATTCCTCAATCAATCCATTAGCAAACTCTGCTGGCTCTACCATTAAAACACACCCAGAGCCCAAGCACTTCTCAGCCCCTCTCCTGGCAGCACGCTGATCCCAGCCACTATCATCCCTCCCCCGGGGTTACGGCAGCAACCTCCTAACTGGTCTTCCTGCTTCTGACCTCACCCCCTACAGCCTGTTCTAAACAGAGCAGCCAGAGCGGTCCTATGAAATGTAAGCCAGATCGTGTCCTCTCCAAGGGTTCTGCTCTCAAGAGGAAATGTCTTTACGACGGCCTGATGGCCCCACCTCATCTCTCCCCTGCCCCCTACCCACGTCGCTTGCGCTCTCTGCTCCTCTAGCGCTCTCCTCCTTGCTCAGCTGGCTTTGGCCACACCAGCCTCTTCGCTCTTCCTTCAACATGCCAAGCACACTCCTGCCTCAGAGCCTTCGCACTTGCTGTGCCCTCTTTCTGGAATACTCTTCCCTTAAGCATCGGCCTGGTTCATTCTCATTTCTTTCCGGTTTCAGCTCAAATGTCACCTTATCAGTGAGGCCTTCCCTAGACCATTCCATATAAAATAGCAATCACGGACCTGTACTCCTTAGTCTCCTCACCCTGCTTTATCTTTATCCACAGCATTTACCACCATTGGATATTTACTTAATTGTCTTCTGAACCCACCCACTGGAATGTAAGCTCCACGGGTGTTTCGCTCATTGCTGCATCCCAGCATTTAGAATAGTTCCCAGCACAAGGTAGGTATTCAATAAATAACTGCTGAATTCAATAAATAACTGCTGAATGAACTGCTGAATGAATGGATGAATGACACTTAACTACTGAGGCCTTAAGCAAATGACTTTCCTCTGGCCCCATTTGCTCATCTGTAACCTGAGGGGGCTGAACCACTCCACTTACTTTTCAACCACCCTCTCCCTTGGCATGGTTCTATTCATAGTCATTCCTCTAACTATTACCTAATTATCGACAACTCTCAGATCTCTGACACTAACCCAGAGCTTTCCTGAGTCCAGGCTCATACAGCTGCTTACCAGACGGCAACCACTGAATGTCCCATAGGCCCTCAAACCCAACACATCCCAGACTAAACTCATTCTCACCCTCCTTCTCCTCCTCCCATGAGCTCATGGTACGCCTTGAGCACCGTCAAAGACCTTCAATGGCTCCCTACTACTTGCAAGATAAAGCCTGAAGTCCCCATCCTGGTGTGGAAGGTTCAGCTGTCCGTTCCAGCCTTTGTCCACCACATCCCTCAAGCGCCCTGAGCTCAGGCCAGTGGGGGTTCCTTCAGCCATAAATAGCCGTATCTCTCTGTGGAACACCGGCTCACCCCCAGCACCGAGCACAGGGACTCGCACAGAACAAGTGCTACGTGAACGCTGTGCAATGAATGAATGACTCACCCCTCTGAAACACACAGAGACCTTGCAGGTTAGATCAGCTGAGTCTCGCAGGTTAGTTGGCTTCACGAGATGGTCCTTGCATATTCCCCGTAGAGCCAGGCCAACAGGCTCAAGGGGCAGCCGCTGCGCACTCCAGCTGACAGGCACCATACAGCAACTCGGGCCCCGGTTTCAAAAGCGGCCAAATTACCAAACCAAACCAAATCCCAAACAAGAAAACACCCGCCCTGTGGAGGCCAAATGCAGCCACTGAGTCAACAGGCTGTGGCTGGGGCGGAGTTGTGATTTCAGTCAGGAGGCAGATGGGCCAGAGTGTGAATCCTGGCTTTACCAGCAGTAGCTGTGTGGTCTTGATGTGTCACTTAACCTCTTTAGTCCTTGGTTTTCTCACCTGTAAAATGGGGCTGATGAGAGTGCTCGGCCCCCAGGGTTACGGGAAGGAGCATATGAGTTATGTACCAGGAATACTTAGCACAGGGCTTGGAAAGTGGCAGCTGCTGCCATAGTAACGCCAGCACTCCCTGGGGCTGAGCCCCACCATCATGATGGACATTAAGATACAGTGAGTGCTTGTTAAGAAGCCCTTAAGAATTAGAAGACAAGAAGGGGAGGAAAATGAAGGGGCAGATGCTGTCCAAAGCAGCATCCGATCACACACAAGTTAGGGGCACAGACTCTGGGGACAGCTTAGCGATGAGGCCTTTACTTAAGCTCCCAGAGCCTCAGCTCCCTCACTTATAAAATGGGCAGAATAATACTAATACTTTCTTCATAGGTTCGTTGGAACAGTTAAATGAGTTGATGTGCAAAGTGCTTAGAACCTGTCTGGCCTGTGGAAAGTGCTATGTGAAGCGGCGGCACCTCTGTCATCACCAGCACCGTCGGAGGATGTGCGTTAGGGCGCCTGTGACCAGCCACACACACACAAAAGGGTGAAGTTCTTCTACATGAATCATCTGGCTAAACAGAGAAGCCAAAGTGTGAAGCCCTGCTGAGTTCTCAGACAAGCTGTCCCCGGCATGCTGGGGCCCTTACAGAAACAATATGAGGGAAGCAAGAGACCTGAAAGGGCCCACGTATTAAACAAAGGACTCTTGCAAAATAGATGAAAAAGGCAGACAACCCAATTTCTTCAAACGGACAAAAGACTTGAACAGACATTCCATAAAAGAGGCTGTTCAAATGGCAATAACCCCACGAAGAGGTGCTCAACTTCCTCAGTCGTCAGGAAAATGCAAATTAAAACCACTATGAGATACCATTCCTCATCTCCTAGGATGGCTGTGATTAAAAAGATGGAAAATACCAAGTGTTGGAGAGTACCAGAACTCTCACACGCTTCTGGGAGGAGTGTAAGTAGGTAAAACAACTTTGAAAAACTGGCAACATCTACTAATGATGAATATACACTGCACTATGACCCAGCAATTCCACAGTTAGGTTTACACCCAGCGTTAAAATGGGCAAGTGTTCACGAAAGACAAGGGTAAGAATGTCACGGCAGCATTATTTGTCACAGTCAAAAAACTGGTAACAACTCCATGTCCATTAACGGTAGAAAGAACAGTTAAATTGTGGTCTATTCATACAGTAGAAACCACACGGCAACGAGAAGGAGTGAACTGCAGTCACACAACATCGCAGATGAATCTGAGAGTGCTGAGTGACAGAAGTGAGATACGAAAGAGTACATTTATATAAAATTAGAAGTTCACAGGCTTCCCTGGTGGCGCAGTGGTTGAGGGTCCGCCTGCCGATGCAGGGGACACGGGTTCGTGCCCCGGTCCGGGAGGATCCCACGTGCCACGGAGCGGCTGAGCCTGCGCGTCCCGAGCCTGCGCTCCACAACGGGAGAGGCCATGACAGTGAGAGGCCCGCGTACCACACACACACACACACAAATTAGAAGTTCACTTAGAATGGTTATCCTTGGGGAGGGTGCAGGGACTGGAAGGGGCTCGAGGGGGTTGGGGGGGAACTGGAAATCCTTCAGTTCTTGATCTGGGGGCTCAGTTACATGGGTGTATTCACTTTTTGAAGATTTATTGAATTATACATGATGATTTGTTTATGTGATATTTCAATAGGAAGATAACGTTAAAACAAACAGGAGGTCCCAGTGGACCCTGCTCCTGGTCAGCCCCTTCCCATTCCTCGGCTGTTATGAGATTCCCAGCTTCTAGACCACAGATGCTGCCAAAGTATAATCAGCCCCGAGAATCTCCCTCCAAATACCTCCAAGAGAGCTTCCCATTTCCTCATCATCTACCCCTGGTATTTGGAAAGGGCCAGAAGCTTTAGAAGCCCATAGATTCCAAAATCCCAAAGATTTTCTCTGGGCAAGAAACAACATTCTCCCATGACACCCCACCGAGCAGCTGTCTGTCCTGGAGCTCACTGCCCCTCCTGGAGGGGCTCACTCCTTTCGCAGGCAGCTCCCACTCTACAAAGCCCTTCCCTGCTCTGAGTTCAGGGGGCCCACTGGAAACGCACTGCTTCAGCTCTGTCTTCTAAACCTTCTGTGGGTAACATGAGCTAGTACTCACGTGAGAACAAAACAGGAAAAGGAAGCACATTTACTGTCTGACCTGACACGTTTCCATATCAGTCTGTTTGCACTGGCCTTTTCAAAAAACTAAACCACTTCAAACATGACCATTAACAGTACATGTGGTAAACAAACTGAAGCTCTGGTTAGGAGGTAAAGATCTTTTTCACAAAACTTTTACTTTATTTTTACAAACCCTAATGAAAGGATTGATTCAGGCCAAGGTCCCGAAAGGGTGAAACCATTGCATGAAGGGTTGGTGAGGACCTTTATGATACACCTCAGGCCCACCCACTGCCCGCCACCCATTCACGCATCCCCAGACTGTGACCACTGACACGACTGATGACTAACGGGGGCAACGAGATGTTGGCTCAGGGACGTGATGCTTTGTGAAGTACACTGTGCCTCCCATGGAGTGTTTATTGACTCCTTGATCCCAAAAAGAAGTTGAAGCTAAACCTAATTAAGACTTTGGAGCACCCTGCAGTTTACAGGAAATATAGGCAATAGAGGAACAATTAAAATGATGCCATGAGGAAGCAAACAGACACATTCAGAATGTGGGATAGGGAATTCCCTGGCGGTCCAGTAATTAGGACTCCACGCTCTCACTGTCAAGGGCCCAGTTTCGATCCCTTGTCGGGGAACTGAGATCCTGCATGCCATGCGGCACAGCCAAAAAAAAAATCAAAAAAGATTTGGTGAATCTTGGGAGTTCCCTTGCAGTCCAGTGGTTAAGACTCCGCGCTTCCACTGCAGGGGGCGCAGGTTCAATCCCTGGTCAGGGAACTAAGATCCCCCATGCCGTGTGGCTCGGCCAATAAAAAACCCAAAAAAGATTTGGTGAATCTTAAAGGAAAATGTTCTTCCTTGTACTATTCTCTTCTTTTTTAAAAAACTTTTTATTTCATATTGGCGTATAGTTGATTAACCGTGTGTTAGCTTTGGGTGTTCAGCAAAGTGATTCAGTTATACATTTACATGTATCTATTCTTTTTCAAATTCTTTTCCCATTTAGGTTTTTACATTATATTGAGCAGAGTTCCCTGTGCTATACAGTAGGTCCTTGTTGGTTATCCATTTTCAATATAGCACTGTGTACATCCCTTGTACTATTCTTTTAAATTTTATATAGGTTTGAACTTTTTCCTCAATAAAAAGTGGGGGAAAATACTCCAGCAACAACAAAAAAGAAAGTAAGAAATTGAAAGAGGGAGAAGGAGGGAGAAGGAGAGGGAAGGAAGAAAAGAGGGAGGGAGTGGGGTAAAAATCTTGACAATTCTTGAATCTGGTTACAGGGGGTTCATTTTTCTATTCTTGTACAATTTGTATATGTTTGAAATTTTTCATACTAAAAAGTTAATGTGGGGCTTCCCTGGTGGCGCAGTGGTTGAGAGTCCGCCTGCCGATGCAGGGGACGTGGGTTCGTGCCCCAGTCTAGGAAGATCCCACGTGCTGTGGAGCGGCTGGGCCCGTGAGCCATGGCCGCTGAGCCTGCACGTCCGGAGCCTGTGCTCCGCAACGGGAGAGGCCGCAACAGTGAGAGGCCCGTGTACCGCAAAATAAACAAACAAACAAACAAACAAATAAATAAATAAATAAATAAATAAAAATAATAAAAAGTTAATGTTAAAAAAAAAAAGGCATAGCAATGATCTGGTCCTATTTCCCCGTAATGTTTATGTGGCCTTTTCCAGGGGCCTGCACTGGACCATGATGCTTCCCTGGCACAGCACCTCACTTCATGCCTCATCCAACCTGTGAAGGGGCAGCTCTTACTGTCATGAGTTTGCAGATGAGGAAATGGCTCAGAGAGGTGGGAGGTTTTCCCAACCTAACACGCAGAGCTGGTGACAGCCAGTCTCATTCCAGAGCCTGCGTCCTTAACCCCCATACTGCCTGACCAGAAGCACCCTAAAACATCATCTCGTCCAGAGAGAAACTCACGCTGACTCTGTTTTCAGCTTTGATACCCTATAAGGACCTTTTCTAGCTCTGCCTTGTGCAATGATAAGGACAAGTCCTACGGTTCGGACACACACTCTTCTGTAGCACCTGCTGTGTTTCCAGCAGCATTTCCTCTTGCATCCACTTCCTCTGTCCTAACAGCCGAACCCATGGCCGGATTCACCACCCTGAAGCCTTGCAGCTCCCACAGTGATCCTGCTCGTTCCTAACTTAAAGCCTCACTCCCCATCTGTAGCTCTCCACCCAAATTCCTCAGTCAGACATTCTGGCTCCATTCTTCCTGGACTGTGTGACCCTGGGCAAGTGAGCTCACATCTCTGAGCCTCAGCCTTCTTACCTGTAAAGTGAGGCCAATAACAGCACCTACCTAACAGGGTTGTTGTGAAAATCAGTTGAGATAATGTAAGGAAAGAAGTCAACATGACGCCTGCCTAGGTCCTGAACAAATGCTCATTTTCACAGTTTGGCCTCATCTCTCCCTCCCTCCCTTCCTTATGTCCATCCACTCGCCCCCTCACTCATCCCAAGTCTCCCCTCTGTCTGGCTGGTTGAAGACTGCCTGGGCCAGTCATGGTTCATACACGTTTACGGTACGACCCTTGGCCGCCCCCCACGCCCACTTGGTGCCCCCGACCCAAGACTTACCCCCTGGGAGTGCAGATACTCCACGGTCTTGCCGATGGTATGCAGGACGAAGCTGGCCTCACGCTCTGAGAAGAATTTCTGCCGTAGGATCTTATCCAGCAGCTCCCCTCCCCGCATCAGCTCTGTCACCAGGTACACGTGTTTGCCATCATCGTACACCTGCCAGAGACCTCGCCATCAGGCCCCTCCCCTTGATGCCAGGCCTGGGCCCCTTGGCCACCAGCTCACCAGGACAGGAAGGAAGGAATGACATGAGGCTTGGGCGTGTGTTCTGCTCTTCAGTCACCCTGGCAGGGCCTTCACCTATCTGGGCCCCTGGACAGGGTGCTGGCTCTGTCCTGATGGGCAGGAAAGCTCTCAGAGACTGCCTGGGTCTGAAGTGGAGGGCACTTGGGTGCAGCCAGATCCGCGGCACTGAGGGGCCTCCCCATCCATAAGCACAGGAGGATCAGAAGCCAAAGGAATGGCAGCCCCGAGACGGTCCTAGAGTCGAGGGCCCCCGTCCCCAGCCCACTCTCGAGGACCCCCACTTACATCTTTCAGAGTGATGATGTTGGGGTGCTGCCCGTACCGCAGAAGAATCTCAATCTCTTCCGAGGGGTCTCGCTTGCTCTTGTCGATGACCTGAGGAGAGGGGTGCGTGTGGTGGTGTCCGAGGGACCGACTCCAGACTCCCTTCCCGCCACAGAGCCCACGCTGCAGGGCGTGGAGTCTCAGCCGCACACCTTTCACCCATCCACAGAGCCTCAGGCACCAACTCTCCCCCACCAACGGGCCAGGGCTACGTGGCCCCCCACCTCCACCCCGCCGAGCGGCCTCGGCCGAGACAAGGTCGAGAGGCCTACCTTGACAGCATACTCCATGGTGGTGGCCTTGTGGACACAGCGCTTGCACTCGGAGTAGGAGCCCACACCGATCGTCTCTTTTACCACATAGCCGTCACTAAAAACCAGGTTCTTTCCGTGTAGTTGCTGCAGGAGACCAACAGGTAGGACTGACCCCGAGCTCTAGGATGCAGAGGTCATCCCCCCAGAAGCCGAGGCCTTGGCACTGTGGAGATGGCACTGGGCAAGAGGCTGGAGGCCCGGGGTAGAATGTTGGCTGTGTGACCTCAGGCAAGAACCTGCCCCTGTCTGGGCCTGTTTTCTACACTATATGATGGGCACACTCACTCTCTCCAGGGTGCCTGGCTGCAGTCTGTGGTTAGTGGGTGCTGGAGGGGGCAGGCAATAGGCCACAACACACATGGAGCGGTTTGAAGCTCCGAGAAGCCCAGGCAGGACTGAGAGGGATGAAGGAGTCCTGAGCCAGGTCCCAGCTCTGCCACTTACGTGGCCTTCAGTGAGTTGCCTCCCCTTTCTGGGTGACACAGCCCACCTCAAGGGTGTCTCGAGGCTCTGAGACACTAACAGTATCAGATGCTGCTATGGTGCTGAGAGTGTGGCAGGCACTATTCCGAGCACTTTTCACCAGGTGACCCACGGCCCGTGGACGGCCCTGGTTCATGTCTGTTGTCCTCACATCCAGTCTGGTTTAATGTTTGTCCGCGACCAAGATATCCCAGGTGGATAATAAATCACACAGTCACCTTAACTTTACACACGTCAACTCACATAATCCTCGAAACAATCCTTGGAGAAAGGTTTTATCATCAACCCCATTTACAGATGAGGAAACTGAGGCACTGGGAAGGTGAATGTCCCCTCCACAGCCCCTGACCTTGGAAGCTCTGACCCAGGCAGGGAGCTCCAAAGTCTACATTTTTTTTTATTTTGTTTGTTTGTTGTTGTTGTTGCTGTCGTTCTGCGGCCGCACTGCGCAGCATGCAGGATTCTAGTTCCCCGACCAGGGATTGAACCCACAAACCCCTGCAGTGGAAGCATGGAGTCTCAACCCCTGGACCACCAGGGAAGTTCCCGAAGTCCACCTTCTTGCCTCTCGACTCTAAATTTCCTACAGAGCCGGGAAAGTGTGCAAATGGGGGACAAGTGGAAGGAGACCCGAGTGCCACGCCACCCACCCCCGTCAGGACCAGCCACTCCCCAGCAGCACCACCCTGGGCACTCCCTGGCATTTACCCAGGCCCTACAATGTCCTGGCTGTGTCAGGAACCTCATAACCGTGCTGTTATCCCTGTTTTACAAATGGGGAAACTGAGGCTCAAGGAGGCTGGAGGCCCAATGGGCTCCACAGTGGCGTCAGGGTTTGAACCCAAACCTATCCAAGTCCAGAGCCTGTGTTCTCAGCCGTCTGCCTTGTGGCTTCTAGGTGGAAAAGGACAACTGAGCAGCAGCCTCCTGCCCCTCACCTGTACCACCGAGTGCAGGGGCGCCTGCGTGGCCCGAGGCTTGCCGTCGTCCTCCATCAGGCCAGTGGCCACGAAGCTGAAGCCACGGAACAGCTGATGGGCACCAGCGCTGGGGGGGATGCCTGGGGAGTCTGCAGGGGCAGGAGAGGGATGTGAGCCAGAGGAGGTACCCTTGACCCGAGGCAGCCCAGCAAAGTGGACCACAGGGGCTTCCAGGCCTGCCTCAGCAGCTGGTCGTTGTGGCAGCCTGGGCAGGGCCCCTCATCCCCGGCCTCAGCCCATCTGCCCATGTGTGTTTAGAGCAGCCCAGCCCTTACACACAAGGAACAGAAAGACCCTCACTTCCGCCACCCGCCCAGGCCAAGGCACTTTATCCCTTTCTGGAGGCCTCCCCGCCTCTGGTCTGCCCCTTCAGGTCCATCTTCTGCGCAGCAGCCAGAGGGATAGTTCCAACCACAAGTCTACCCCCTGCCTGTACCCTTCAAATGCTCCCCTCTGCCCTCAGGAAAGCCCAGCTCCTCAGCCTGGCAATAAGGTGCTTGTGAGCTTAGCCTCCTCTCTCCCCATTCCACAGCTCAGCCACGCCAAGCTTCTCAGGTCCTTAAGGAAGACTCCGAGCCCCTGCACATGCTGTTCCTGCTAACTACAATCCACTCCTCGTCCATCCTTTGAGGCTCAGCTTACACACTGTCCTCTGAGAAACCTGGCCTCATGCCGCTCCTCCAGGCCCTCGCCTCATTAAGCTGCACTTGTCGTGCTGCCCAGAGCTGTCCTCATGTCTCTTCCCCCACTACAGCCTGAGCCATATGAAGGCAGGGCCTGGGTCTGTCCTGTTCACCATCAATGCTCCCATGGCTGGCACACAGTAGGGACTTGGTACGTATTTGTCAGATCAACAAATAAAGATGGGACAGACTGCTTGGAGAAGTGCTAAGCTCCCTGACATCAGAGATGTGCAAGCCACAGTGAGAAAAGCACCCCCTCTGCTAAACCTGCCCCTCCAGGAGACCTTCCAGAACGAACACTCCTCCCCAATATCTAGCCAAAATGTTAGGATTTACCAAGTTCCCTCCCAGAAGCCCCCTACTTGGCTTCTAGCAGTAACCCCAGAGACCGAGTGGGTCTATCGCTGAGCCCACGTTTCAGATGAGTCACTGAAGCCCAGTGGTCAGAGGAGCCAAAGCCGATTCCCACGCTTGCCCCTGACCTGTGGGCACTGTCACCTCTGCTGCCAGACCGTCTCCACCTCACGTGTTTGCCGGGTCAGATACTTCAGCCCTGACGTGAGTGTGAGCCTGATGCGTGTGGTCTTCCCAGTGGGCTGAAGATGCCTGGGGCAGGAGTCCCGACTTCTCTATTGTGGCCTGAAGGCCACCCCCACCACCTCACCCAGGCACAAAGAGGCCCACAGGATCCCGGAGTGGGACGACCAGGCAGAATGAGATGGAGACAAGGAGTCAGAGACCCATCCACCTGTCTGCCCACACACCTGGGCCTGCCGCAGCCCTGAACACCCCTGACTCCCTGCTTCCCTCCTGTACCAGTCCAAGACAAACCGGACAAAGGGCGCACCCTTGGGCGTGCGGGATGTGAACTCAGTGTCAAAGTAGAAGGTGTCATCGGGTTGTGCCACAGCCGGCTTGAAGGGTGGCTTGATCTCGCGCCGGTACAGCTTCTGCAAGGCGGGGCAGGCACAGTGGTCACCTTGGCACCTCCACAGCCTGCCAGCGGCCCCGTGCAGGAGTCAATGGCCTGGACAGAGCACAGGCTATGCAGACAGGGCATGACCGCTTGCCCTTGGGAGGCGAGCCCATGCCTCCAAGGCCATGGTGTCACCTCTGCTTCTTATGGGAGGCCCTAGGCAGTAGAAGCCCCCTCCGACCACAGCTGAATCCCTGACTGGGGCTCTGGGGTGGACAGACACACTCACATTCCAGTCAATGGTGGAGTAGAAGACATGCCGCTTGATTTCCTCTGCCCCATCAGGGCCGGAGCCTGAAAAAGCCCAGATGAGAGGTCTGCCTTGGGACGCTCCAACCCGCAGACACCCGCCCTGTCCTCCGAGCAGCCTCGCCTCACTGTGGCCTGGGACCAGTGGCTGGGCTCACACTGCCCCAAATCCATCCAGCCATCACCCCGAGGCCTACTGCCCACTCAGCGTTTTCCACTGTCTGGAGCCCCTCTATGAACAAGCTCCAATGTACTGACAGGAGAAGGAAAGCCCAGAGAAGAGAGGCCAGGCAACGCGCCCAAGGCCAAAGTCAGGACAGGCCGAACCTGTTCCGAGATCTGCAGGGGGCCCCCACCTCCCTCCCAGCTCCGGCCTCATCTCTGCTGCTCTTATCCCATTGCCCTTGTCAGCCACCAGACAGGCTCTCACTCCATTCAAGCCCAGGGACCTGGACGGGACCTTACAAAGCTGGTCATGATCCAGGTGAACCCAGGAGCCAAGGAGTCAACACATACTGAGCAGCTGCTACAGACACATTCGCTGACTTCACTTAATCAACAGAGCTTGAGATCATTGTCCTCCATGGAGACGAGGACCTAGGGCTCTGGGGGGAGAAGTCAACTGCCTTGGGTCACTTCGCTCACAAATGGTACTCACTCGATCAACACATATTTGTGGAGGGACCACTGTGTACCAAGGCAGTGGGGTCCCGTCATGGGGCTGGGACTGGGGCCTGAGCCTCTGACGCCTGAGCTCGTGCTCCTTCCGTGCGGGGCCTCTGTCCTCATCCCCAGGGGGAGTACAGATGACTCAGTTCCTGCCTTCCCCCTACACACAGGTCACCCCACTGCCCCAAACGCCACACATGGAGCCAGAAAGCAGGGTGGCCAGAGGCATTGTCTCCCCACACAAAGGACAACGGCCCCTTTCAGCCCCAGATGTGGCCCCATGGCCTAGGCCGCAGCTGTACCCCGCTCCCCTCCCCTGAGCTGGGGCTGCTTACCGAGCCGGTTGGCAGGATTCCGCTTGAACAGGGACCGCAGGAGGCTCTGTGCTTCCGTGCTCAGAAACTGGGGCATGCCTAGCTTTGCCCTGAAATGGCCCCCGGGTCTCGTCAGGGCTGAGCTCCGCCCCAGAGGCCCCATCTCACCTCCCACCTCTGTCCACATCTAGTTTCCAGCTCAGTCCAGACAAGCCATCCTCAAACTCCCCTCCCAATGACGCAGGGATTCCCCTCCCACAGGCCCCTGTGGATGAAAAGGGAGCCCTGGAAAGCACAATGCCCAGCCCAGAGGAGCGTCTCATTAATGGGGAATCTGAGGCAGGTGCGGGGTGTTACTCTGGCCCCCAAACTGGGGCCAGGCGTGGAGGAGACCCTGAGGCGTCAGAGAGGGGCTGAAGCTTACTTCAGAATCAGTGTCATGGTCTCCTTCCGGTCCTTCCCCTGGAAGGGCAGGGAGCCCGTCAGCATCTCAAACTGCAGAGGACAAGGGTCTGTTCAGGCTCTGGTCCCATCTCCCATGCCCCCCACCTCCTCCCACCCCAGCCACTCAGCTCCAGGCCTAGGAGTTCCGCCTGGATCAAGAACTGCATCTGCCCCTCCCCACTCTGTCAGTCAGACCATGAGGAACAGTGCTAGGGGTCCAAAGCTGGGGAGACGCCCAGCACAGGGCTGGGGACTGAGCCTGGAATCCTTCCAAGGAAGGAAACTGCAGCTGGGTGGAGGGTGAGGCCAGCTTAGCTGTGAGAGGACAAGAGGAGAGCCTTAGAGACCATCAACCACCCCCTTACACAGATGGGGAAACTGAGGCCCAGGGCCTGGGCACTCACCATCAGCACCCCATAGGACCACCAGTCTGCACTGTGGGTGTGGCCCTGGCGGTTGACGACCTCGGGGGCCATGTACTCCACCGTCCCACAGAAGGAATAGGCCTTCTTCTCGTGGTCAATGGCCTCCTTGCTCAAGCCGAAGTCTGTGGCAAGGAGGGCAAGAAGACACATCTTCAGGACCCCCTGCCTTCCTTGCTGCCATCCCCTGCACACCTATCCCTCCTGCCCAGAGGCCTGAGGGCATCACCCCCATCACACTCAGGAGGAAGCTGAGGCCCAGGGAGGTTAGGTGACCTGCACAAGGTTACACAGTGGGGAGCTGGGATTCAAACCCAGGCCCTTCCAGGTCTGGGGCCTGGGCTTTTGACCGCTTCCAAGCACCTGGCACAGCCTCTCAGAAAAAGCGGATCCCCTGGCACTCAGCCCAGGCCCGTCAAGAGCCCATCCTGCCCTCCCCTGAAACCGGAGGGGTCAGGTGCCCTCCACTCACCAGTGAGTTTGATGTGGCCTTCCTCATCCAGAAGGATGCTGCAATGGAGAGATGGGAGTCAGGGCGCCCCAGCTGTGGGCCCTCGGTGGGTTCAGGGGACACCATGGGGCCTGCGGGGGTCGGGTCCAGCCCAGAGAAGGTGATCCACCCAGGGCCGCTCATCTGATGAATGGGCAGGTGGAGTGGGTGTTGGTGGTGCCCTGTAGGTGTGTTGCCTACCTTCTTGCTAATTCTTGAAACAACTGTGTGAGGTAGGTATTTTTATGGCCCCATTTTAACAATGGGGAAGCTAAGGCTCAGGGAGGTTAAATAACTCCCCCGGTTACAGAGCTAGTAGGTGGTAGAGACAAGATTTGAATTCGGGTCTGCCTGACTCTAAAGCCACATCTCATTCCACCTCAGCACCTGCCCCTGGCTCCCAAGTTACCACTTGAGGATATTCAGATGTTAAGGAAAATTCTAGAAAGGGCCATATCAAGGAATGACCTTCAATGGTGGCATCTCAGATGTCACACTGGATTAGCAAAAAAAGTAGGCAACACCCAGGCACAGAGGTACCTGGCCCTTGGTAATGGTATTAGTAGAGATCAGGCAGCCCTCGGGTGAGCCTGCTGCCTCCACCACTCTGCTCCACCCACCCGTTCATGGGGCAGCCCATCGGGCTGGCTCCGTACCCCAGCAGGCTGGTTCTGTCCTAGAAGAGGCCCCAGGGCCTGCCTCTGTACACCCTAGGGAGGCCGGGCGCGGCTGGGCCTTCACTCACTTCTCAGGCTTCAGGTCTCTGTAGATGATGCCCAGGCTGTGCAGGTGGTCCAGGCCCAAAGCCAGCTCGGCCAGGTAAAATTTCACATCCTCCTCCGTGAACATAACCTGCAACAGGCGGGAGAGGGCTTCAGCTGGGATCGCTTCTTCCTCAGGAGCTGGGTCACTGGGCAGTCAGTAGCTTCCCAGTCCTCCTTGGAGATTCCAGTGCCATACACCCTTCTCTGTATGAAGGGGTCCGAAGAATAAAATGACTAGCGTCCAAGTCACTCACGGTAGCACTGAAATGCAAACAGCGAAAGGCTGGAAACAACCCAAGGGTCAAGCAGTGGACTAGAATAAACTCTCTCCCCCACATAACGGAGTGCTACACAGCCATAAACTAGAACAAGGATTCCTCCATGCTCTGATATGGTCCATCTCCAAGATACACTGTTGTGAAAAAAGCAAGATAAAGAACGGTACCTACAGAACAGTACTTTGTATGTAAGAAAGCAGGGGTCAGGATTCAGAACACACAACGAATTGGTTTGTATTTCCAAAGAAACGTGGGAAGCTTAGATAAAAACCAATCAAATGTTTACCTGTGGGGGGGTGGTAGAGGGGGCTGGAGTGGGAGGAAGACTTCTCAATGAATATTTTTCTTTTCAATCATGTATTATCTATTTAAACGTTAAAATAACATTTTAAAAATCTAAAAAGTTTGGTTCTCTTCTAAAGTTTAAGTTGTATTAATGGCCCCATTTTTATATTTGGCTCAAATTCTTTTTTTTTCCCCAAATAAATTTATTTATTTATTTTTGGCTGCGTTGGGTCTTTGTTGCTGCGCGCGGGCTTTCTCTAAATGTGGCGAGCGGGGGCTGCTCTTCGTTGCATTGCACAGGCTTATTGCGGTGGCTTCTCTTGTTGCAGAGCACGGGCTCTAGGCACACGGGCTTCAATAGTTGTGGCATGTGGGCTCAGTAGTTGTGGCTCGCGGGCTCTAGAGCACAAGTTCAGTAGTTGTGGCGCCCGGGCTTAGTTGCTCCACGGCACGTGGGATCTTCCCAGACCAGTGCTCGAACCCGTGTCCCCTGCATTGGCAGGCGGATTTTTAACCACTGCGCCACCAGGGAAGTCCTCAAATTCTTTTATGTGAGTTCAAAATCCTTTTGGTTAACGGGACATAATGTTAAAGCATCTAGCTTTCTAGGTGGATTTGGGCTTCTCTGCATCCTTCATAGCCCTGCGCAGAGAAGCCCTGAAAGAATGGAGGTGAAAGAGGTGAGAGCCACCCTTAGCTTCTGGAATCAGGGCAGCATCAGATCCAGAGCCTGATTCTCCTCAGACCATCTTGGGGGAAACTCTCAGAGGCTTTGCCAGGGAATGGGCTCTGTCCCAGGGTGGGTCAGGGACTGCTGGGCAGGTCTGGGGAGTCTCAGGTTGAGGTCTCACTGCTCCATCCTGGTGCCCTGGCAGTGGGGTGTCAGCTCACCTCTTTAGAGAGCCGTGTGAAGAGGTCTCCGCCACGCAGGAAGTCCAGAATAAGGTAGAGCTTGCCCTCAGTCTGGAAGGCTGGGGAGACGGGAAAAGGCCATGGTGGAACCAGCTGGGCCCTGGGCCCTGCCCCTCTGATCCCAGCTTCCTTAGCCTGCTGGGTGGCAGACAGGGCAACATACAGGGGAGGCAACAGCCCACCAGCAAGGGCAAAGGCTGGCAGGTAGGGTAGGAGCTCAAGTAGGGTCTGCGGTCTCACCGTAGTGCAGCTTCACCACAAACGGATGGTTTACATCAGCCAGGATGTCTCTCTCCATCTTGGTCCGAACGCGGTCACGCACTGGTCAGAGGAAGAAGGCGGTTACCAAGGGTCTGGCCACCCAACACAGCTACGCCCAGCCCTGGCTAAGAAGGACTCTCTTTTCTACTTGTTCCTCACATCTCTCGGCAGTGCCCAGGGCTGGCCCTTGGCCCTGCCCATCTCTCTAGCCCTGTCTCTTGCCATGCCCCAAGGAGGCCATTCAATCCAGCCAGTCTAAGCATCCTGTTCCTTGTGTGCCCTTAGCCTCTGCCCCCGTGGCTCCCCCTGGGATGCCTTCATCAGCCCCCTCTCCATCTGGCATAAAAATCCCTAATTCCAGTCTAGGGCAGATTCTCTGGGCCTGAAATTCAGACTCATGGGTCTCAGCAGACATCCCACAAACACTTTTTTTTTTTTTTTTTTTTGCGGTCCGTGGGCCTCTCACTGTTGTGGCCTCTCCCATTGTGGAGCACAGACTCCGATGCGCAGGCTCAGCGGCCATGGCTCACGGGCCCAGCCGCGCTGCGGCACGTGGGATCCTCCCGGACCGGGGCACGAACCCGTGTCCCCTGCATCGGCAGGTGGACTCTCAACCACTGCGCCACCAGGGAAGCCCCCCTTTTTTTTTTAAGGAGTAAAAGTCCCGGGACTTCCCTGGCGTTCCAGTGGTTAAGAATCCGCCTGCCAATGCAGGGGGCACGGGTTCAAGCCCTGGTCCGGGAAGATCCCACATGCCATGGAACAACTAAGCCCGTGCGCCACAACTACTGAGCCTGTGCTCTAGAGTCCTCAAGCCACAACTACTGAGTCCACACGTCGCAACTACTGAAGCCCACGCGCCTAGAGCCCGTGCTCTGCAACAAGAGAAGCCACTGCAATGAGAAGCCCGTGCACCACAATGAAGAGCAGCCCCCGCTCGCCGCAACTAGAGAAAGCCCGCGCGAGCAACAAAGACCCAACACAGCGAAAAATAAATAAATAAAATAAATAAATTAAAAAAAAAAAAAAGGCTACTCCCATGTGAGCCCACACCCTTTGAGGCTACAACCCACGCTCTCCCGGGCTCCCTGGTCACAGCACCAACTGCGCCGCGCTGCACAGTCTGCTCAGCCTCTCCTGCCCCAGCCTGGGAGCCCTTCGCAGCATTCTCCTCCTCCCACCATCCCTCCTGGGGAAGGACTCCCATCCCTACCAGGATGGCCTTGGGGCACCACAGCTGCATCGCCCCACAGACAGCCCTCTGTGGCTCCATGACCCCAAGGCCAATTCCTCCTATTATGCGCCGCCCCCCAGCCCAGCCGGGGCCCGCTTCACTTGGTCAGTGGCCACACTGGTTCCCAGGCTGGTCAAAGAGACACTACCGGGCCCAAAGCCCACTTCCAACCACCCTCACGCCCTCTGCAGGTCCAGAGATTCTAGACCTGGGCTCAGCTCCCTTCTCCGAGCCCATCCATCTCTGCGGCCTTGCCTTGACCCACCCTCTCCTACCCACCCAGCTGCCTCCTTTCCCGGGTTCCCTCCTCTCCTCTCACGCCCCTCTCCACCCCGAGACGTCTCCCGCTGACTCTCCTAACATTGCAAAGCAGCTCTGCTGACAGCACAAGGCCCCCCGCAAACACAGCGCACTCACCCCCTGCCTCCTTCCAGGCACCTTCAGCCACAGTCAGCACTTGGCTTAAGGGGAGCAGGAAGGGGTGGGGTTAATCCCCGGAAGTCTGTGCTTCTGAATGGACCCTGTCTTTGCTATCAGCTGAGGTGGGGGATAAGGAGCGGCTGAGAATAGGCCTGTTTCTCTACCTTCAGACCAGGTACTCCTGGTGACAGAGCTATCTCCTGCATCAGACCCAAGGCCCTTGAGAGCTGGGCTGTCTCCTTCCATCTGTGCCCAGCCTGGGCTCTGCATGGGGAGGTACCCCCAACTCACCTTTCAGTGTCGCCTTCTTTAGTACCTTCATGGCATACAGGTGCCCACTGTCAGGCCGGGTGACCTTCCGCACCAGGAAGACCTGAGAAGGCAGCGGGGGGGAAACCAGGGGAGGAGCTGGGCAGGGGTCGAACATATCAGCTCCCACACGCTCCAGGTCCCAGGCTGACCTCCAACTTCCCTAAGCACCAAGTTGACCTTGTGTCCCCACTGGGTACCAAGGTGACCTCTCTCCTCCTCCCCTTAGACCCATCAACCCTTGCCCTCTGATCTTTTAAGCTCCAAGGCGACCCTCCCACCTGCCCTCTGATATGACCAGCGCTGCCCTTCCAGCTGTGGGCTCAGGACTCACTTTGCCAAAGGACCCCTGGCCCAGAACCTTGAGGAGCTCAAAGTGGGATGGGTCGGCCTTCTCGGAGCCAGCCTTGACATGGTGCGTGATGGAGATCTCCTTGAGGACGTCTTCATCCTGATGGAGGAACAGAGCGGGTGAGCACGGTGGGCCCCATTCAGGTCAGCACAGGGCATGTCCCCCCATCCAAGTCTACTCCCACCGGATCTCAGCAGACAGGGTCCTACAGGCCCAACCAGCCAGCTACCCTGACAGGGCCTCCCAGTTCATCAATAGCAAAAGCCGGGGAGGGGAAAATTACCAAGGTGCCAGGTCAGGTGAGCTCCTGTACCTCCTGCTGCTCCAGCCTGTTCAGGCCCAGAGGGATGCCCAGGCACGGCCAGGTGGAGGCAAGCCCAGGCTCTGGCTGAGGCCCACGAACCTGCCCCAGGTCCTCCCCGTGCGGCTCCCCTCCCCCTGCTGCAAAGGTTTTGGTTTTGCCACAATAGGAAGTAGGGTTTGTTCTCATACTGGGAAGGCACAACTGGGCTTTTGTTCCTGGTCAAGATGGAAGATGGGCTGTCTCTGGCTAGAAGGACAGGGCTGAGATACACAAGAACCCATGAGTCACCTCAGACTCCCCCACCAACCGGGTAAGTGCCAGTCTGGGGTGGGTAGGAGCTAAGGCCAGAGACTCTATGCTCCACCCTCTGAAACTTCCTTCATACAAGTCTACTAGAAAGCCCTTGCCACGTCCCAGTTGTTCTAGGACCCCTCTGCCCTCCCTCCAATCTGTCCATATGGCCCTGGAGCCCTGAAGTGCCTCCTCACTTCCCCAGGAATCAACTCTGGGCAGGGTCCAATCACCCAGCAGGGACAGGCGTGGGCAAGGAGAGCCCACAGCCAGCTGAGGCTAAACTGGCTTCCAAGGCACCTGCTCCAAGGGCCACAGTCAGGCCAGGCCCAGACATCTGGGCACACTCACCGAATCCCGCCTGGGGCCGGGGCCAGGGCCAGGGCCAGGGGCAGGCAGAGAAGTCTGGCTGATCCTGGGCCGCTGCTTCCTGGGCAGCCAGGGGAGCAGGGCCCAGAGCCGCAGACGGGGCAGCTTGGGATCCCGCTCCATCCGCCTGGGCTGGGCAGAGGCACCATGGCAGGAGCAGGCAGCGTCCGGGGCTGCTGCGGAGGTGGCCAGGCCCAAGGCGGATGTGCAGGGTGAAGGCGGGGGCTGGGCCGAGCCCAGGACCGCCAATCACTCAGGGCCTGTGGTTTCCCAGCTCCCTTACCACGCTCCCTTCCTCTCTCTTCCCCCTCCCCATTGCCTGAGGGCTGCCCTCGGGCCCTCCTCCCCATCCTCCCTGTGGGCCTTCAAAGGGAAAGCCCCATGCCAACCCAGCTACTGAGGAGTAGATAGGTACCCAACAGGGAGAGACAGGCAACTAACATGTAGAGGCAAATAAAGAGGGACACCCAACAGGCAGAGGCAGGCATCCTACAGGTGAAGACAGATGAAGGTGGGCATCCAACAGATGGGTAGGAGAGTCCACATGCCCAACAGGCAGGGATGGATAGGGGCATGTGCCCAACAGGCAGACGTAGGAAGAACACACATCCAATAGGCAGAGACAGATGGGGACATGTACCCAACAAGCGGAGGCAGGAAGGGACTCATACCTAATAGGCAGAAGTGGACAGAGACTCATACCTAACACGCAGAGGCAGATGGGGACACATATCCAACAGGCAAAGATAGATGGGGACAAGTACCCAACAGGCAGAGACAGATGGGGATCCAACAGGCAGAGTCAGATGGGGGCCTGCACCCAACAGGTGGAGACAGATGGGGACATGTACTCAACAGGCAGAGACAGAAGGGGACACGACCCAACAGGCACCCAATACGGGACATGTACCCAACAGGTGAAGACAGACACTCATGAAGTGGAGACAGAGACAGGAGCTCAACAACAGAGGCAGGTGGGCAGCAGTCAGCATCAGTGAGGCCCAAAGAGACTGACAGATACCCAGGGCACACATACAGGCAGGAAAGACACAAAGACACCCCGAGAGTCAGACTCTGGACTTAAGGGAAGACCTCCAGGTTCCTGCTGGTCTGCCTGGGGGCAGGAAAGCGATGGGACATCACCTGCAAACTCCCAGCACTTGGGAGAGCAGTCTGGTATTCGTGGCAGACTCATCTCTGAGGAATTCCATTTCTCTGGAGTTTCCTTCCCATGCTATGGCCTGAAGGGCCCAGGATCAAGACGCTGGAGACCGAGATAGATGTCTCCTGAGTGCAAACTGATGGCTTTGATCCAAATATCCCAAAGCTGTCATCCCCCACTTCAGGAACAAGAAACTGAGGCCCACAGGACAGTGACTCACCCAGGCTCAATGTGCACAGGTGGCAGAGCCAGCTCAAACCCAAGTTCTTCCCCTGGTTACTGCCTGGCCTGGGGTCAGCAGACCTCAAGTACCAGGAAAGCGTGGGCAGGTAAGTCAGCCAGAGCCACGTCCTGCCTTTCCAATCCTGCCCCCTCCCTTAGCACCAGGACAGTCTGGGGACTTCCCATTCTAGATGCTGACCCTCAGAGACACAGCCCCATCTTCAGGGGCTCCTGAATAGCCACAAAAGCTGCAGGCTAATCAGGCCCCTGAGTGTAACCCAGTGGGTGGGACAGGCAGAAAGCCCAGCTCAGAGAGGGGCTGGGGAGGGCCAAGACCACACAGCAACCCCTACCCACCCCATCCTGAGGTCTGAATCTCCACCTGTCTGTCTGCCTCTGACTGAGAACACTCCCTGGGGACACAGGCAGTCACCCGGAAACCCCAGGGGACACAGCCACCCCCAAACCCATTCCTTGCCCAGAGTCATGACAGACCCCGCTGGAGGCAGGCCAACCCTCTGCTCACCTTTCTGGGACAGGGGAGTGAGTCTCTCTCAACTCTGGGGAAATCTGCCGGGGTCTGCATGGTGGGGCCCAAGCTGGCGGTCAGAGGGCCCAGTTACTCCCCTTACTTCTGCTTTTTCAGCTTTCCTGGCCGAGCAGGCAGGGTCCCTGACCCCCTCCTTCTCACTTCCCCCTCTGCAGGGAGGAGGGACAGAAGACGGCTTAGGCTCCCCTGCTAAGGAGGGGACAATGCAGACCCCAAACCCAGGGCTCCAGGGTGGGCCCAGAGAGACCCCCCTCATCTCCTCTGATCCTAAGGAAAGGAGACTAGAACACAGACAGAAGTTACAAGGAGATGAGGCAGTGACACAGTGGGTACCCCACACCTGCAAACATCCCCTGGAGAGAATGGGGGGCAGAGGTCACCAAGGCCACCATCTCTGACTGTCCCGGTCCAGAGCATGGGAAATCCTTCCCCCGTAATGACCTTCCCATGGCTGGGCCCGCCCAAAATGGCAGCCTACAGAGCGGACACCACCCTGCCCTAAGAAGCCTGCCAGCCCAGGGCCCTGGCACGGGCAAGGGGGCAGAAGGCCCTAGCATGGACCTCACAGAGGCCTGAGAGGAGGAGCAGGTAGCCATGGGGCAGGGGTTGACCAGGCCCAGCCCTTTGCCACATAGCCTCACCACATCCCTGACACCAGTACACCCACAGAAAGTGACACACGCAAATGCACACAGTCCGATGATCGGAAACCATTTCCACAGACATCCCCTATGTGGAAACGCTCCCCCGTACACCGAACTTCCCCTTCCAGTCCCCACAGGGCCTCCGATAACTGCCTGATGACGGCCTGCTGGGTGTTGTGAAAGACGCTTCCTTAGACCGAGGCCTCTCATTGTACTCCAGCTTCTTCTGGAGCGTCTGGGGTCTGGAGGCTGGGGCAGTCCTGAGAGCCCCAAAGCTCTCTGGTCCAGTGCCGGCTGGGGCCCCCCAACCCTTGCATCCCTCGGAAGCAAAGAAGACTCGCCATGGCTAGCAGGCTACGGGAAGGGGCAACAGGAAGGAAACGGTCTCGGAACTGCCTTCACTGAAGGGAATGTGCAGGGCCTGTGAGGTCGCTGGTGGCAGGAGTAGGGAGGACAGCACCAGACCCCACCCCCTGGTCCCTGCCCCATTCCCCCTAGAGATACTTCCTCTTATTTACTTCCTCCCACAAGGCAGCTGGAGAGAAGCCCAGATCCCCCCCACCTGATCCCTGGCCCGTAGGGTCCCCACACTGGGCCTCCCTCCAGCAGCTGCAACCCAAGCCCACCTGCTAATCTCTGGCCCTAATGGACACCAACAGCCCCTCCCCCAGCTGGCATCATCTGCAGGGCCTCCCAGGACTGCCCCCTCTGGTGGGACAGATGTCCCCAGACGCCTCTCCCAGCATGCCTCTGGGCAGGTGAGGAGGGATCTACATTTCCCAGGCATCCTTGATAGGGGAGGTGGCTTTGGGCCCGAGGCCAGGACTGGCATGGAATGACAATGAGAATTGTGCCTATTAATTGAACATTTATTGCATGAAGTCATTCTTTCCCTCAACTTTTGTTGGTGTGGATTCTGCCAGGCCCTGTGTCCTAGCTCCAAGGAAGTACTGATCCCATTTCAGAAAGGAGAAAACTAGACTCAGATAGAAAGTGACTTGCCCAAGGCCACATGGCCAGAAAGGGGGAGAGCTCAGGGCAAAATCAACCTGTTCACTTCCAAAGCCTACACTCTAAGCATTTCATTATCACCTTCCTTGCAAGCCCTGCCAGCCTGCCTCCCCTCTGGAAATCACTCACAGCTACTGGCCCGCTGCTCTGTCCTCAGGCCAGGAACCAGACACTAGGAGGCGCACATGTTAAGGCAGACCTGTCCCCAAAATAAATACACACTAACAAAACACAACTATCCTGGGACACAGTGCAGTCAAGGTGCTGTAGGTGCCCAGAGGCTCTAACTATCTGCCTGGGGTGAGGTCCAGGAAGACAGGGCAGTCCAGCTGGACCCTGAAGATGAACAGAAGTTGGCCAGGCAGAAAGGAGGAAAAATATAGACACTCCATGTAGGAAGAAACCAGCGTGGAAAAGAGGCTTGAGGCCAGGAGTACAGCGTGGGAAGTTAAGAACCATCTACTCACTAGCTGAGTGTTCCCAGGCAAATCTCTTTCCCTGTCTGAGCCTCAGTTTCTTCTTCTATAGAATAGAGGTCAAAACTAGATTGTTCCACCCCCAAAAGGTTGTTTCTAGAAGCAAAATGGGCCACAGAAACAAAGGGATGTGGTAAACAGAACTCCCTGGATTACACGGGCACTCTTACTGCCGCAGGGTCTCCTCTGGGCAGGCTGAAGGGACAGAGCCCAGCAGGTCTCAGGTGCTGGGAAGGTGGGCTAGCCTGCCCTGGCTAGTCCCAGGGAAGTTCCCCTCAACACCTGAAGCTCCCAAGGCTCCCCGAAGTCCACAGTCACATCCTGCCTGAGCTCCAGCCAGGGGGAGCATGAGGGATCCGGGAGGGATCAGGGTTTCATAAACAGGAAGAGAGGAGGGGAGGGGGGAGACGCTCAGCTCTCAAAATAGACCTGCAGGAGCTTCAAAGGGGTCCAGCTCCGGAGATAGCCGGGGGAGGGGGCCTGGGGCACCCAGTCCACCCCCAGGAAGGGAGGGAGGGTGAATGGAGCCCCAGCATGCCTGAGGGCACCAGGTGCACTCCAGGAGCTCTCACCCTAGACTGCAGTCCTCACTATAGCTGCTAAAACCCCAATCTCCCCTTCTGCCTGAAATGGATAAAATAAACAAGCATTAAACACCAACAGTATGCCTCAAACCCTGTTGGATTCTTCACTTTATACACATCACATTCCCTCCTCTGGGTGGCCCTGTGGGGTGGACCCTATTCTTTTACAGAAAAGACATCTGAGCCTCAGAGGGGCAATCACTTGCCCAAGGTTACACAGCAAACAAGAAAGAGGGGCAGGATTCTGAACTCAGAGCCCCTGCCTCCCAAGTCCCCCTCCAAGTCAGGCCTCTCCTCCACCTGGAAGGCCCACTTTTCTCTCCAGCTGCCCAAATCCTGCCTTTCGAGGCCCAGCCAAATGCCAGCTCTGCAGGGAAGGTGACCTGGTGCCCCACGGTCCATCCCAACTCTTCCTCTTCTGCCACACACAGCAGTAACTGTCCTTCTGGTCCACGCTCAGCCCTGAGTTCAGATGCCACTGGCTGGGTTCCCCGGGATGCGCTCATCTCATCATGCCCCCAAGAGACATGTAGGAAGGTGGTATATTTCACTGCCCACTATGAGGCCCGGCGCAGAATGGAGGTCTTAGGTGCCCACAGCCTGTTCTTCCCCATCACAGCGCCCTCCACACAGCTTTCCTGTTACTACCGTTCCCCCAACACTGGGAACTCCCTGAGGGTGGGTGTTGAATTCATTTTGGGGTCCCCAGTGCTACAGCAGGGTGCACTGAAAGTCTGATGTTGCAAAACATAAACCAGCTTGCTGCCAGTTTGTTCCACTAAACAAAGGGATGAGGTCCTGACCACAGGCTGAGCGCTCCCTGGTGTGCTGAGCCCAGAAGTGGGCACTGGGGATGCTAGGAGGTTCTGGAGCAATGGAGAAGGTGAATGAGCAGGTGCCGAGGAATGATGGAACTTGGGGTCACGGGGACCCAATGCTCCTCCTCTTCAGCGCTCAGTGTGTTTCCTGGGCTGGGAGGAGGGTGGGCTCTCTGGTCAAGCAAGATCTGACCCTATCGCCCACCAGCTATTTGACCTTGGGCCTCAATTTTCTCATCTGTAAAATGGGGAGAGTTAACCTCCAGGGGTGTTATGAGAACCAAATGCAAAGCTCCTGATATGGCGCTTTCTCTCCCTTAACGTGGCATTGGAGGTTCTCCCTGACCCATCGTGTCCAGCCACATCTCCCTTCCCAGCCCAGGATCTGCTCTAGAGCAAGGAGTCCCAGGCTTGGGATCAAATATAGGGCGCCCGCCTGGGTAAGTTCCTGCCCTTTCCCAACCAGCCTCTCCAGCACTGAGGTGAGAAGCTGCACTCACCACCAGCTCCCTCAAAGCTGCAAGCAGTTCTGCAACTCCCAGAACCACAGCCCCAAGATCTGAACATTCTGGGTCTGCACTGGAGACCTACAGCCCTTCATTCTGTTCCTAGGCAACCAGTGGCAGCTCCTTTGTGGGAAGAGATTCTCCAGACATGGGGCTGAGATAAGCCAAGGGGCCCAGTCCACACCACGTGGATTGCTTTTGGTGGTCCAAGGTTGCCACAGTACCAAAAAAAGGAGGGGGTGGGAGCCTACTTCTGTCAGCCTGCCCCACCCCGGGTAGCTCAGCTCCCTTATCCTAGGAGGCTGAGTCAAGGCAAACATCAGGACCAGCTCTGGGTCTATCTCAAAGGTCGAGCTCGTGGTCTGGTGCCCAGGCAGACCCAGGCCAGGAGGGTGTGGCCACTAACAGGCAGTGGCGCTGAGCGATACAGCAGGGCGTCCATGCTGCTGCTGCTGAAGGCACTGTGTGGCAGGCGGTTGCTACCTCACTTGTCCTTCACGTCACTCCTGAGAAGTAGGTTACTATTATTCCCAAGGTACAGCTGAGGAAACTTTTGAGAAGTTTCTGGTCAAATGGTGATGGTGGAGCCAGGACTCGAACTCAGGTTGGCTCTGCTGCCAGAACCCATACTTTGTCCTGCCTGGTGGCTTCCAAAGCCCCTCCACAGCCAGCAGCTCTGTGACCTCACAGCTCCTCGAGAATTGGAGGAGCTCAACGTGGAGATGAGAAAGCCCAGGCCCAGAGGAAACAAACGACCCACCCAAGGTCACACAACTGTCACCCAGCCCTGGCACTTCTGTCAACACACAAAACCAGCAACAGGAGCTGAGGGGCTGAAGGGAGGAACCCAGGGGAAGCAGAGAGAGCAGAGGAGAGGGAGCCAGCCTGGGGCTGAGGGGTGGGGTCCCTGAGAAATGGCCTGTGCGCCACATGCCAGGCACTGGGCCCTGGTTAGATTTGAGGCCACCAGGTTCCCTCCAGCGCCAGGTGCCCAGATGATTCCAGGCCCACGTCAGGCCCAGCAGACCTGAGCCTCTCTCAGCACCCCTTCACCTTCTCAATACAGTCGGCCAAGCTGCCACGAGTAAATAAACTGAGGAAGTGTCCTGGTCTGGGTGATGGGTAACCAGAGGTCTAGCCTGGATTCTGACCCTGTCTGGGCCACAGTCCCCTCACCTGAGAAATAGGAAGGTTGGAGCAAGTAATCCTGACACACAGGGCTGCCTCGAGGATTAGGTGGGACCAGAGAAGGAAGGCTGAGCTGGGCCAAAGGGCCTCACGCCCGGGGGGGACGAGGGCAGGCCTCCCTCCTCTTCCACTCCATGCAAACGGTCCCCCCACCCCTGACAGTCCCTAGCTCTGGTGCTAGCCCTGGTCCTTACCTTGGACGGCTGAAGTCCAGCTTCTTCCCCTGAGGCTTGTCCATTCTGGAAAAGAGAAGGGAGATGAGGAAACACTGTCAAAACTTACCAGAGTGGCACAAAGCAAAGAGAGACCCCATGGGGCACCCCCACCCTCGGCTGCTCCCAGTAGCTAGGGGGCCAAGGAGGTGAGGGTGCGAGTTCTGGCTGTGTCCTCTCTACCTCCACAGGCATCAAGGCTCCTGCAACAGCCCCTCACAACTCAGGCGGACCATTTCCCGGCATCTCTCCCTCGGGCTCTCTGCCTGGCAAATACCTCATCTTTGAAGGCTCAGCTCAAATGTCACCTTCTCCCAGTGAGAAGGAAAGGACTCCCAGCTTTGCCACAGACAAACTGTGCATGCCAGCTAACCAACTCAAGAGGCCTCAGTTTCCTGATCTGTAGCAGGAGGGTATTTACATCACCTCCCAGGGTTGATGCAAGGGCTGAAGGCAACAAAGTCTGGAAGAGTGTCCAGCCCAGTGATGGTGGCTACCCTGGCCCTGCCAGCTCTGGGACCCCTCCCTATCCTTGCAGAATCACTGCTGCTCCACTACGGTCCTGCGATCCTTCATTTTACCACTTATCACAACGCAGGGACTATTTACACACGGGCCTGCCCCTCCTAAAAAACGGGGAGCCCTGGGAGGGCAGAGATTAGGGCTTGGTGCTAACAGCTTTTCTCTTCCGAGCCCCTGCCACATGCCCGGCACTGGGCTCAGTGCCTCACACCTGTGGCACCATTAAACCCTCCTGACCTGGGAGGCAGGCCCTGGTCCCACTTGGCAAAGGAAGAAACTGAGGCGCAGAGGGGCCTAGTAATAGTGCATAAGGTTACACCGCTGGTAAGTGGGGATTCAAAATCCGGTCTCTGACACCAGGAGGTGCTCAAAAGAGGACTGAGGAAAAGCAGCCCACTGCCCAGCTAGGGGAACTACCTGCAGAGAGGCAGGCACTGGAGCCCGCCCCTGGGCAGTCCTCCAGCCCCCAGACCTCACCCTCAGGTGGGTGCTACTCACCCTGGGGTACACCGTCCTTTTCCTGTGTGATATTAGGTGAGTAACCTACCCCATCTGGGCCTTGGGAAGCTGAAAGAAGCTGTCCCCACCCCTCCCGCACAGCGAGAGTGTGCAGAGGCCAGGAAGACCCAGGACTTTGGAGCCAGGGGCCGGGTCCACAGGGCAGCTGCGGCTTTGCCCGGCCGCAGCAGGCATAGCTGTGCTCTGCCCATTACATAATCTCCCTGCCCCTGGAGCAGCCCTCCCCTTGTCGCTCCCCGGACATCCTGCCCCCTGAGCCCCTTTAATGCCCCTAATCCTCCCCAGGGGCCAGTGTTCTACAGGCCCCACCACGCACACATACACATACCTGTCATCTCTCAGAAGCCTGGGGAGAAGGACCAGGTCGACCAGGGCTGGGGGGAGGGGGAGGCACGGTGCATTTGTAGATGGAGTTCCACTTCACCCAGCATTCTAGACTCTTGACATAATTCCCCCAGATGGTAACAACGGCCTATACACCAGCCTCCCCCATTCCAAATCCTCACCCTTCCTAAAACTCAACTGTAATCGTTACACTTGAGTGATTGACTCCCTTGGTCACTCACTCACTCCTTATTGAGAACCTCCTACGTACCAGGCCCCAAACCCTTCCATGGCTTCCCACTGCCTGCAGGATAAAGTCCCAGCTCCTTGGCATGGCGTTCAAAGCCGTCATCACCAACTGCCCAACACAGGTGATTAATGTGGGTTCTGGAACCTGACCATGTGGGTTCAAATTCTGGCTTCTACCACCTGCATGACCCTGAGGTTACTTCATTTATCAAGGTCTCAGTTTCCTCATCTGTGAAATGGGGATAAAAGTGATGTACCTCATTGGGTGGCTGTAAGAAGCAAGCAAAATAGTGTCTGTAAAGTACATATGCCTGGCACGTAACTGGTCCACAAACAGTCCCCATTATTACTATCAGGCCCTATTACGGAGCTAAACAGAACAACCTGAGACCCTGAACAGACCAGCTTGTTTCACATCCCCATGCATCTGCACGGTGGCTCCTCCTACCAAGAAAACCTTTCCTGCCTGGTCACTTTGGCAAACCCCTGGTCTTCTTTCAGGACTCAGTTCTAATGTCATCTCCTCTGCCCACACAGTCTCAAGCCCTTTCCTCCCTCCCCTGGGCCTCAAAGCACCGAGCAAACTGCAGATTAACTCAGGGAGGAGCCATGACTTGTCCAGCATCATCTCCTTGGCACCCAGATCAGGGTCCAGCATGTAGCCTGTCAAATGAAAGCTCAACCCAGCAAAGAGAGCAAGGAGGCCAGAGCAAGTTCTGTTTATTTGTTTGCCATGCCATGCGGCATGCGGTATCTTAGTTCCCCGACCAGGGATCAAACCCATGCCCCCGGCAGTGGAAGTGCAGAGTCCTAACCACTGGACCGCCAGGGAATTCCCCAGAGAAAGTTCTATTACTCCCATTTTTCAGACAAGGTTCAGAGGGTTGAGGGACTTACCTGTGGTCCCTAAGACATCGGGCCATGACCCAGAGTCATGTGGCTGCAAGCCTGAATCCCTGATGAGGGAGGGGAGGAGGTGGTGGGTGTACCCAGAGGTGTGTGCTTACAGAGCAGTATCTTGGAGGATTCAGGGGGCTCCACAGGCCCTATTTGGTTGCCTCCAGTCCAGGGGTCTCTAGCTTGGATGCCATCCTCATGGAGCCCCATGCCTGTAAGAGCTGTTGCACAAGGTCTCTAGAGGGGAGTGGGCAGCCCTGGAGAAAGAACTGTAAGTGCAAAGAGGACCACAGGTGAGCTTCCCCGCTTAGAGCCAGGGTCCTGGGAAGACAGGGCTCATTTGCCCCTCTGGTCTGACTGCTGCACAGATGGTGGAAAGAACACAGGTTTGCAGCCACAAAGACACAGCCGCTAATGCTAGGTCTGCCAGCCTCTCATTCTGACCTTGTGTCTGTCACATTACTTCTCTGAGCCTCGGTTTCCTCATCTGTACTACGAGGGCAGGTCCATCTTGTTCACAGCTGTACCCTGCTGCTTGGGTTAGTACTTGTCACATGATAAGTGCTCAATAAATATTTGCTGAATGAACGAATGAATGAACGAAAGAGGACAATGATACTGACCTTGCAGAATACTGAATGGAAGACCTTGTCTAAAAAGTCTGGTATAGGAAAGGGCTTTTGGCCTCTTGGAGGATGGAGACCCACTCTCCTCCCTCTTCCTCAGAGAGCACTACTCATGGGGACAGCTGCGGAGGGCCTCCAGACCACTGTCCCCCCTCCCCAGAGGTCAGAGATGGGTTTCACCAAGCATCCTTCCTTCCCACCCAACCAGCTCTGTCTCGGGAAGAGGGGCCAGGGCAGCGTCTGGAGAGGCCGGGCAGCAGATGGACAAAGACAGCACGTGCCCCACAGGCAGGAAGCAGCCCCAGGAGTTGGGTTCAGAGCCCAGCACTGGCAGCCCTGCGCGCTGCTGGAAGCTGGGGGCCAGGTGCCAGGGCCGGCTGGTACCACCAGCCCTCAGCAAAGGCTGGACAGGAGAGTCTGCCAACATCCGGAGCCTCTCTTGGAGTACCTTCCACCTGGGCCAGTTTGATCCCAGCTCTTCCCTGTCCTTAAGCCTCCCCCAACTAGGCTGGAGACAACAAGAGATCTGGGTTCCAATTCTGACTCTGACATTAATTCACAGGCCAGTTCTCCTCTCTGAGTTCAGCTGTTCCATATGAAAATGGGGGTAATAATCCCTACCTTGAGAAGTTGTTTTGAGAGTTGTTTTATTTTAATAAGGTAACAGTGGTGAAGTGGGGTGGGTGGCACATAATGAAGCTCTGTACACAGCGAGGCTGGGCCTGGGGTCAAGGTTACTGCTTTCAGCAAGGCCAGGGAAGGCCCAGGCAGAATCGTCAACCACACTTCCAATGGGTTTACTCCACCTGGGCCACACCCCAGACAAGGCCCCGCCTCCCAGCAGCCCATTTTCGGCAGCGTCATGGGGAGGGCAGGGCAGTCCAGATCCCAGGCCTCTGCCAAATGCCCCCACCAGCCCCTCTGCCTGCCTCCTTCCTGGCCAGGAGCCAGCAGCAGCGCCTATACCTGCAGGTCAGGCTGCTGTATCACTTACATGTCACCTGGGCTAAGAACAGCGAGGCCCTGTTCTCCAGTGAAAACAGCCCAACCCGCGCCCTGGCTGCCCCATGGCTCCTGTTACCCAAACAATAACACCCAGTCGCCTGGCACCTCCATGGAGTGGGGAGGAGGAAAATGGGCAGTGGTACTCGGGACTCTGTACCCTCTCAGGCCCAGAAAGCAGAGGCCAGAACCCAGCCCTGGCCATTGGAGAAACAGAGGCCCAGAGAGGCTAAAGACTGATTGGGGGTCACACAGTGTTTCCAAGGTGAAGCTCCTAGAGAAATCACAGCCCCCTTAATCCTAGGAAATAAGCCAGTCTCTTCCTCTCAGAGTTCAGCTGCAGCAGTACTAAAACTGAGTTGAGTTTCCTGTTTAAACCTGGCCCCTGCCCCAGGATTCCCCAAAGAGAAACAGGAAGTAGTGCCCTGGACCGGGAATTGAGCTCCTGGGTGTCTTTCTTCCCTACTAGTATAACCCATGGTAAGTCCTCAGATTAAGTCTCTCCCTGGCCCCTCCCAGTCCACCTTCCTCTAGGGAGGCCTAGGTCTCAACGGTATGCCAAGGCAAAGGAATCCACCTCTGAGCACCTCCCCAACCCCCTGTGCCCCAGTCCTTGGGGGGTGGGCTGTGGTGGATAGGGGCTGCAGAGGGCAGTGTTCCTCACCTCAGAGGGTGAGTCAGCGAGAGAACTTCTGAACTGAGCAGGGCCCGTAAAAACCCCATGGCAGGGATCCCAAAGCAATTTACTCCAAATTGCGCCTTCAGGTTGGCTACCTAATCCTGCCATGCGCCCACCCTCCAATAGCCAGTGTCAGCCATGACCATCCCTTTAAAGGGGCAGCACACCCTGGGTTCTGGGGACCAGGGATCCTCACTCTGATTTCAACCTGTGACCCTGAGAGGCAGGGCACTTGGTGGTTGCCCCAGTTAAGAGAGGGCAGAGGAGGGGATCTAAGCAGGGGCTCTGAGCCCAAGCCAGAAGAAAATCACCTTGGCTCCCAGGCTCACTGAGGTTTCCATACCCTCCCTGCATATCCCCACATCCCCTCTGGAAAGGCAGTATCACCTACCTCCTTCCCAGAATGAGGCTAAGGGAAAAGTTTTTTTTTTCCATCTGCTGGCAGATGGGCTTGACCTTGACCCTGGGGGTCAAAGGGCACAGGAAGAGCTGGCCTTCTGCAAGCTTAGGGCCTAGCACCATAGAAACCTCAGAGGGCAGGAGGTGCTTCTGGGAGAGGCTAGGCAGGCAGAGGCCAAACTCCCCAGGGGCCCAGTCCTTCCTATGGGAGGGGGCAGGAACCAACGTTCTCCTCATCTCCAGGAATAATTTTCACAATGTCTAAGGGCTTTCCCCCATTCTCTTCCCCCCAGCCTGGAGCAGGTGACACAGGTGTCCTCTGACCCTAGGCTGGGGCAAAGAAAACCAAGAGTTTCAGCCCCAGACGGACGGTGTCACCCCAAATTCCACAACTGCTAGGGTCAAGAGGGACAATCCTTCTAGGGTCAGCAGCCGAGTAGCGGGAGCTCTTGGGGTAGGGCGCTGGGAGACATCAAGGAGAAGTGAGGGGGGGGGTCCCATGATCCTTGTCTCTTGTAGAATCCGAGACATCTGACACCCCAGCCCTGGCCGCCTGCCCTAACGAAGGAAACTCCGACAGCTCCCGGTACAGGTCCTAGGTGTGTGGAGTGAGGCGGGGGTCAGATCTCAGCGCACCACGGCATACCCTCTCCGGGCTAAGGGGTTTCTCGGCGCTGTGGCGGAACTGTCCCTCGCGCACACACACCCGGGGCAGAAGGGGTGGAGCCGGAGAGGGGGCAAGAGATCGGAGGGCACTCGCGTCCGCGCGGGCGCCCGCCCGGCTACAGAGGCGCCGCGGGCCGCCCCGCCCCTGTGGGGACTCGGGCTCGCCGGCCGCCAGCGCCCGTCCCCCGCCCAGCTCACTCACCTCTGGGTCCAGCGGCACCAGCTCCATGAGCGGCCAGGGCTCCTTGAGCTGGGCGAGCGGCATCGCGCCGCCGCTGGGCGGCCCGCGCTCCACCGGCGGTCCGGGCCGCCTCGCCTCCCAGGTCCTGAGGTCCCAGGCTCCGCGCTCCCGCGTCCCCTCGTCCCTGCGCCCCCTAACCCCCTCGCGCCCGCCGAGTCCCTCTCGCTCTCGCTGGGCCGTCCGCGCCGCCGCCGCCGCCGCGGCACTCGCACTTCGGCTCCCTCCGTCACCCGGCGCCGCCGCGCCCATTGGCTACCTGCGTGAAGGGCGGGGCCAATGAAGCCCCGCCCCGGCCCCCGCGGCGCGGCATTCCCAGCACAGACCCCCAGCCCCCGCCGCGAAGAGAGTGCGGGCCCCGCCTTCACCGCGAGCCCTGGGCCCGCGCTCTGCTCAGCCCAGAAGAGGCCCTCTTGGCTCCTCCCTCCCAAACCTGGTCCCCGGAGGGGACCATGCCAGGGCTACCCATCTCCCCCACTCACCTCGTTTGGAATAGCTCCCCAGATGTTCTTTCTCCCCCCCCCCCCCGCGGGGGCTGTTTCCCCCTGCCCCCCACACACACACTCTGAATGTCCTGGGCCTGACCCCGGCAAAGGCTAGAAAGGAGCCTGGGCCCTACTCCCCCCATTACAAGGCTCTAGGACCCCCTAACCCCGCCCCGGAAGGCGACACTGGAATCTCCTGCGCCCTGGCTCCAGGTAGGGTACAAGTCTTTCACCACCATCAGGACCCACAGTGCCTCCAAAGTGATGTCTTAATACGCATGTTTTGCTCTTTTCAAGCCGTCTCCCCGAATCTCTCCCAACTGCAGGCCCAGCTCTGGGCTCATTTGGGCTTGTGCCCCCTCTGAGGAGACCAGGGACCACGTTCCAGGATTGACCGACACTTGGGCTGTGCTTGGGGTGCAGGGAGGCCAAGGAGAGAGATTTCCCCCGGAGAGATTCAGCCTCCGTCTAAAGAGGTGTTAGGGGTTCAGGTGTGATGAGATTTATTCACACGTGGGGGAGTGGAGAGACGGGCTTGCGTGTTTCATGGGTGGGGAAGAATGTCCATTTGCAAAGCCGTTCTAAAGCAGGATTGTTTATCAGAAGCCTTCTTCCAGTCAGGCTTCACCAATATATGATCTCCTTGGATCCTCACCACCACCTAGTTTACACATCATAAAACAGCCTCAAAAAGATGAGGTGACTTACCCAAGGGTACACAGCAGATGGGGAACAGATTAGGACTTTAAAAAATCAAAGTCCATGAGGATTTCTCCTAAATCCAGATGCTCCTGTTATTCCATCACTTTCCAAGGGTAGCACCTCAGCTGTTAAAGTGAATTGAGTTTTGAGTGGAAAAGACTTTGGAACCGAACAAATCTGGATTTGAATCCTAGCTCTGCCACCTCCTTAACATTGGAAAACTCATTTCATGCCTCTAAACCTGTTTCCTTATCTGTGAAAGGGGAATCATTAATATAATTCCAATCTTTCAGGTAGATCCTGAGGACTAGATTTAATTCAATAAATATTTATGGCTCTATATTACAAGCCAGGCCCTCTTCTCGAGCATGCATTATAAACCAGCCCTGCTCCTCATTCCTGTGGATATAGCAATGAACAAAAGAAAGTCCCTGTTCTCATGGAGTTTACATTCGGTCTGGTGTGATTAGATAAATTATTAGAGCTAACATTAACATAGCACTTACTATGGACCAGGCACTATTCTAAGCACTTTACCTGTAAACTCATTTAATCCTCACAACAACCTTATGAGTTAGGTGCTGTTATTATCTCCAGTGTATAGATGAGGAAACCAAGGACAGAGAAGTTAAGCGTTTCATTTTCTGGGTCCCTCCAAGGTCACACAGCTGGAAAATGGCAGAGCTGAAAGACAACCCTGGTAGTCTAGGCCCAGTGTTCATTCCTTTTATTTTTTATTTTTGGCTGCCTTGGGTCTTCATTGCTGCGCACGGGCTTTGCGCACGGGCTTTGCGCACGGGCTTTCTCTAGTTGTGGCGAGTGGGAGCTACTCTTCATTGCGATGCGCCGGCTTCTCATTGCGGTGGCTTCTCTTGTGGAGCACGGACTCTAGGTGTGCAGGCTTCAGTACTTGCAGGGCTCAGTAGTTGCAGTGCACGGGCTTCAGTAGTTGTGGTGCACGGGCTCTAGAGCACAGGTTCAGTAGTTGTGACGCATGGGCTTAGTTGCTCCACGGCCCGTGGTTGCTCCATGGCATGTGAGATCTTCCCAGGTCAGGGATCGAACCTGTGTCCCCTGCACTGGCAGGTGGATTCTTAACCAGTGCACCACCAGGGAAGTCCCTAGAGTTCATTCTTTTGTTCACTCACTCTATTACCTCCTTAATGAGGGCTAAACTGGAGGCAACCTGCGCCAAAGTTGGCAGCTGTTACAGACATCAGTGTTAGTATCAGTTGCCTGGAGCCAGTTTCCGATGCCCCAACCCCTGCTGCTCAGGGCTAGTGTTGTAATGTTTAGACTCAAAATTGAAAAAATGCTTGTTGTTTATCTGAATTCAAATTTAACTGGGTGTCCTGTTGATTTGCTAAATCTAGTCATCCTACTCAGGGCTCAGAACAGATTGCACCCAGGTGCCAAATATCTGGCTGCAAGCCGGTTTAAGTTAAACTTGGGAAGAGACATTGAGATCTAGAGAATGAGGGCAAAGGACTGCTGGGCGAGGAAAATGAGGTGGATGCGTGGGAGGGGCATGGGTGAGGGGAAAACTGGAGTGATTCTACCTTCAATCTGCCCCCTTCCTGGGGCTCCTGGCCTCTTCCTTCCCCTTTTTACAGGAAAGGATTCCATATCAAGTGCATCATCTCAATTTAAGGACCCAGTAGTGACTCTGCTTTCCTATGAATGTTTCACTTCCTGTGTCCTCTCTCCCAAGAGTATTGGGTTATGCTGGAAAAGGGGGGTGCCCAGAGGACACCTGGGCCCTGCCTGGGAGCTTGGGCAGGTCAGCTTGCCCATGATTGTTGAAGGGATGTTACAGTCACTCAGCAGAGAGCTATAGAGACCAATCCATAGCCTACAATGTGCTGATCCTGCTGCAGCCTCAGCTCACAGTTTTCTGTTTCTCTCTAGGCTGCAGCCACACTGACTTTCCTTCAGTTCTGCTGCCCCAGGGCCTTGCTCCTTGTTCTTGAAACTGTCTGTCTTCCTCAAGCCAGTTTATCTCCACAATCACTTCCTCCAGGACATCTTCCCTTACCTGCCTGTTATATACACTCGTGGCAATGGATACTTCTCCTTAGTGCTCCTCAAGGTGTACTTTTACATTTGTTTTTGTGATTACCTGATTAACATCTAGCTCTCCAATTAGACAGGAAGCTGTGAGAGGGCAGTAATCGGGTCTTCTAGGCTCTTGTCTTCCTGGCACCTGACACACTACCTGGCACATAGATGCTCAAAGAGGCTAAGTGATATGTACAACATCATCTAGCTACAATACAGTAAATCTAGGACTCATGCTCTGAAATGCTACACTCTGAGTCGTGGATAAATGATAGCTAATATTATTATTCATAATGGGGTGAGAACAGGCTGTTCGGGGCAGTCACTTGCGGTGTTTGTTAAGTGAATGACTCATAAGTGTGAAAGGGCTCTGCTGGACACAGTGAGGTTCTTATTCTGTACCTTATGGAAGAGGTTATTCTAGCATGAAGCAGGGGGCTGAGCTGACAGGCTGAGCGCTGGGTTTTAGGTCCTTCTACCGCAACCTGGGCATGTGCTTGCTATAATGTTCAAGAGCACAGATTCTGGATGGGCCCTGCCCCACAGGAAGAGAGCCTGTCATTATTCTTTCTTGGCCATTCAGTAGAGGACGGTCTTGGCACACGTGTCTCCTGGCAGCAGGTGGAACAGCATAAGGGGAACAATCATAATGGTAGTTCCCTTTAACAAGTGATTACAAAATGCCAGAACTTGGCTCAGCATTTAAATAGTAATCATCATCATCAACTATGACAGCTGATTGAGAGAGAACTATGTGACCTGCCTGGCACTGTGAGTGTTTTAGAGGCAAGAGCTCATCCAGTCACCCCAACAACACCATGAGACAGAAATTATTGTTTCCATTTTCCAGATGAGAAAACTGAGGCTCAGGAGTGATGCAATCGCCCATGGTCCAACAGCTAGTAAGTATTACAGCTAGGCTGGGAACCCAATTCTCTCAGACTCAAAATCCAGTGCTCTTATTCACTTCACTACACTGTCAGCCCAGAAGGGGCTTCACGGGTACTCAGTATGCAGAGGTGCGTAGTGGTGAACAAGTAAGGGGGTGGATTCTCTTTTCTGCCCCATCCAGGTCTGAGGGATGGAGGTGCTTGAAACCCTCCTGTAGCTCCCCCATCACACTTCAAACAAAATCCAAGGACTTTGCTGGGCCTGCAAAGTCCCGCAGGACCTGGCCCCCTACTCCCCCTGCCCCCCCCACCACTCACTCACTGCCCCCCTGCCACCAGTCTTGCTGCCTGCTCACTGACATGCCACATACACTCCCACCTCAGGCTTTGCTCCTGCTGTGCCCTCCACCTGGAACATTTCTTTCTTTAGCTCTCAGAGTTTGCTCCCTCACTTCATTCGCACCTCTGCTCAAATGTCACCTCTTCGGAGAGGACTGACCCTACCTAAGATAGCTCCCCATCGACGGTATCATCTTATGTTATCTTTTTTTCATGGCATGCCTCTCTACCAGGGATCATATTGTATATTTACCTGTTTGTTTATTGTTTCTCCCACTAGAACAAAGCTCCATGAGGTAGGACTTTATTTTGTTTACTGCTGTCTCGCTGGCTACAGCTGACATGTGGCAAGCCTTCAAAATATGCTTGTGTGGGGACTTCCCTGGTGGTCCAGTGGTAAAAAATCCGCCTTCCAATGCAGGGAACGCGGGTTCGATGCCTGATCGGGGAATTAAGATCCCACATGCCACAGGGCAACTAGGCCCACGTGCTGCAACCACTGAGCCCACGGCACAACAACTGGAGAGTCCACATGCCACAACTGCGAAGCCTGCGTGCTCTGGAGCCTGCACGCCACAACTAGAGAGACCGCCCACTGCAACTACTGAGCCCGTGTGCTCTGGAGCCTGCTTGCTCACCAAAACTAGAGAGAATCCTGTGCGCCGGAATGAAAGATCCCACATGCTGCAACTAAGACCCGACTCAGCCAGAAACAAATAAATGATAAATAAATAAATACTAGAAAAAAAATCCCTACTCAAAAAAAAAAACAAAATGAGGCCAAGGGAATTCCTTAGTGGTCCAGTGGTTAGGACTCCGTGCTTCCACTGCGGGGGGTATGGGTTCGATCCCTGGTCAGGGACTAAGATCCTGCAAGCTGTGTGGCATGGCCCAAAAATAAAAATAAAAAAAGAATGAGGCCAAGAGCTAGGACAGCTACCTAAGGCTGTTGGTCAAGCTGTACAGGTTTCTGGCCAGACCAACCAACTCCTTCAGTCAAGTTGTGCTGAAGAGGCTGTTTGTGAGTTGCACCAACTGGTGGCCTCTATCCCTTTCCCAGATGATCCGGAAGGTGAAGCTTCCTGGAGGGGAAGGCAAAACAGGTGTGGTTATAGGAACTAAAACTGATCATGTGTATGCCCAGTAGGTGCCCGAACTGAAGGTGTGGGCACTGCCCTGGAGCCACATCCCCAAGGCCTGGGGCAAGATTCTCACCTTTGACCAACTGGCCCTGGACACTCCCAAGGGCTGTGGCGCTGGCTTCCTCTCTGGTAAAGACCAAGAGGTGTACAGGCATCTCGGCAAGACCTCAGGAACACCAAACCCTACGTTCCAAGGGCTGGAAGTTCAAGCGCACCAGAGGCTGACAGGCCAGTTGCCGCTACAAAAACCAGCCCCAGATCCTGCCTTGTTATTAAAAAGATTTTGGATGCTGAAAAAAAAAAAGAAGAATGAGGCCAAAGATAGGGTGGTCAGAGAAGAAGAGGAAAAATGGGAGCATCCAGATGGGACAGTCCCAGGGCTACTGGAGAACTAGCTAGTGGGCTCCTCCACTGACCTGGAGACCGGGACCGGGTGGGGGCAACAGAAGCTTGTTGCTGCTGGTTACAGAGAATGGGAGCTGGAAGTAGAGGTGGATATAGTAGCAGCAAGAGATGGGAATGGAATTGGAGGTAGAGGGGCAGAAGAAGAAGCAGTTGGTCATCAACAGATCCTTATGGACAGCTATGTGCCAGGCACTGTTCTGGGCACTGTGGACACAGCAAAGGAATACACAGAGAGGGTCTCTGCCCTCTAGAATAAGGGTGGGTAAACTATGAACGGCCTGTGGGCCAAATCTGGCCTCTTTTTATGTGCTTATGAGCTAAGAGTGGCTTTTACATCTTTAAATAATTGAAGAATATTTCATAATGTGCAAAAATTATATGAAATTCAGATTTCAGTATCCATAAATAAAGTTTTATTGGAGCACAGCCACGCTCCGTTTACGTATGGTCTAGGGCTGCTTTCACACTACAACAGCAGAGTCGAGTAGTTGCAACAGAGACCATATGGCTGAGAAAGCCTAAAATGTTTACTAGCTGGCTCTTCAGAAAAAAAATTTGTTAACCCCTGCTCTAGGAACTTACATTCTCTTTGGTTAAACAAGCAGGTAAACTAATTTCAGAGTACTTCTGAGGACAAGAGCCAGCTGGCATCAGTAGTTTCTCACACCCTGCTTCTGCCTCAGCCACCTTCCCCTGGAAGGGAAGTGCTCCATCCAGCTGGGTTGTAATACAGCAGCAGAGGAACTGGGGTCATTGTGATCAGCCCCCTGCTTCTGGGCCAAGAGGATCAAGACTTTTCCTGGAAGAAAAAAGTCACTGTCAGTGATTTGCAAAGTCCAGCACCCGCTGGTTCCCCTTCCCCTAACTCAGATCCTCAATCTAGGAACAACTTACTTATGACTTCAGAGGAACATCATCACCTTTGTCATCAAGGCCTGCCACCTGTGTTCCTGCCACTTGTATGCAGTGCCTCCTTCTTTGCAAAAAGTCTTCTCCCACACTACCTCATGGAGCCCTTATGGGGTAAGGCATGGCTTGGGGTTATTGTTCCCATTTCACAGATGAGGAAACTGAGACTTGGAGAAATAACCTGACTTACCCAGGGTCACATGGCTTGAAATAGCTTGCAAAGCCACAATTAGAAAGTAGTGCAATGTCATCTTTGGAAGGGCCTTTGGGACTGTCTCATCCAGAGATAGGAAACTGATGGCCTGGGGCAGAGGTGAATCAGTTAAGGGTGGTGGCCAGTCCTCCATGTGCAAGAAATAAGGCATGCATTGTCTGTAGAGAAGTTTAAAACATTAATGAAACTGGGTGGGTCTGCTTTTTTTTATCACTGTGCCCTGGCAATTCTAAACAATGTCGTTGGTGATAAAATCCTCCCTCCTGAAGAGATCTTTCTTGGTCTAAGTTCTAAATAATTGCCGCGATTACTATGAGATATATATATTACTTCAAATTAGTACATTTTATCACCTAACCTTTAATAAATAACATATTCTACATGGAAGCTAATTTGAAGAACTCCCAGTTACACAACTGGCGCCAACATATACCTTCAGTTTGAGAGCTCATAGCAGGTCAGCATCATTGGAGCTCACATCAGGAGCGTTCATGTCCCCATGTCCCTGCATTTAAACAGCAGATTTGAAATCAACGGTGATAGCACAGTGATTGTAAAACGGTTACTGTAGTTCTGTCATTCTCTGTGCAAGTCATTCTCTGAACCTGCCAAGTTGCCTCTTTTAGAGGCATTTCTTCATGTGTGTGTGTATGTACCTTTTTGTTTAAAAAATACATTAATATAACCATAAACTATTAGTCCTTTACTTTTTTCCCATTTGTACTATAATTTTTATTTTATTTAAAAAATTTTATTGGTCTGAGTATATACATGAAGTTCAATAAAAGCAAGTTTTTACTGTCTCTGTTGCTTTTCTGCCATTATTATTATTTGTTTTATTTCATGATTATTATTGAAGATAATTCTTGTCATGTTGGGATTAAAAAATGATCTTTTCTACACACACTACTATATATAAGATAGGTAACTAACAAGAACCTACTGTATAGCAGTAGGGAACTCTACTCAATATTCTGTGATAACCTATATGAGAAAAGAATCTAAAAAAGAATTAATATATGTATATGTATAACTGAACCACTTTGCTGTACACCTGAAACTAACACAACATTTTAAATCAACTATACTCCAATAAAAATAAAAATTTAAAAACATTTTTTTAACATTACCAGAAAATCTAAGAAGAAATTCAAGAAAAATAAAATTTGATAACTTGGAAAAAAAACCACATTTTGGGTGTCAAACATACTAGGTTCACCATTGGCTTACAGACAGAATAGGGGGGCTTCCCTGGTGGCACATTGGTTGAGAGTCCTCCTGCTGATGCAGGGGACACGGGTTCGTGCCCCGGTCCGGGAAGATCCCACATGCCGCGGAGCGGCTGGGCCCGTGAGCCATGGCCGCTGAGCCTGTGCGTCCGGAGCCTGTGCTCCGCAACGGGAGAGGCCATAACAGTGAGAGGCCTGCGTACCGCAAAAAAAAAAAAAAAAAAAGACAGAATAGGACCCACAATGACATCATTATCTTCTCAATCATAATCATCATTATTTTTTTATTGAGCACCTACTTGGTGCCAGGCACTGTTCTAAGGTTGGACATGTATCATCCCAACTTTTTCCCCATTCAACAAATATTTATTAAGATCCTACCATGTGTGAGGCACCATTGTAGGTGCTGGTGATATGGCAGTGAACAAAGTCAAATGCTTTCTCTCTCTTACCCGTGAACTACTGGGCCTGGAGGTAGGATGGGTGTTCTCCTTGTGTACCATCCTATTTTAAGAATAAAGCCAGGACCCCACAGACCCAGGATTAGGGTGAGGTGAGTTAAGGCCAAGTCACACAAGTGCAAGGTCATATCCTGTCTTCACTTAAAATGTTGCTATTTTGGTCATCATGGATTTTTTTTTTTTTGCATTACTTTTAACTTTTGAAAATATATCTTGATTGTTGAGTTTTTTTGGCACCCCCTTAAATTTTGCACCCAAGATGATTCCTCATTAACCTCATTCTGTTAACCTCACCCTAGTCCTGTCCTTGCTTATGTGATCCTCACAACAATCACGTGAAGTAGGTGCAATAATTACCCCCATTTTACAGATAAGAAAAGTGAGGCACAGAGAAGCTAAATGACTTGCTCAAGGACATACAGTTAATTAAGTGGTAAAGCTGGTGCATGAACTTCTCTTACTTTAGAATCCATGCTCTTAACCCTACTTTACATTTTGTTTAGTCCATACAGGCTGCTAAATATCTCAAGTAACTTGCCATCACTTTAATTTAAAATTAAAAATACAGCACAGTGCATTCCGCAGCCCCTCAGGACCGGGGTCGGGTTGGAAGACCCCTTGGGCCTGGGACACGGGGCGCGGCCAGAAAGGCAGCAGCCCCCTCACCTGTCACACAGCACACGTTGGTGGGGAACCTGGTGCTAAACCATTCATAGATGACCTGCTTCTGGGTCAGGGTTTCCTACATAATAGAGCAGCTCCCTCGCTGGGATCTATTGAAAGTCAGCCCTGGACAGACATTTTGTAAAAAGAAGGTATTAAAAAAAAAAAAAAAGGAAGAAGAAAATTTAAAATACAGCTTTCCAGCCTCGTTAAAAGTCAGGCAAGGGACTTCCCTGGTGGTGCAGTGGTTAAGAATCTGCCTGCCAATGCAGGGGACACAGGTTTGATCTCTGGTCCGGGAAGATCCCACATGCCGCGGAGCAACCAAGCCCGTGCGCCACAACTACTGAGCTCGCATGCCGCAACTACTGAAGCCCGCATGCCTAGAGCCCATGTTCCGCAACAAGAGAAGTCACCACAATGAGAAGCCCACGCACCGCAATGAAGAGTAGCCCCCGCTCACCGCAACTAGAGAAAGCCCGCGTGCAGCAAGGAAGACCCAACGCAGCCAAAAATAAATAAATAACTTTATTTTTTTTTTAAAAAAAGGCCACCTGCGCTCACATTCCAGTTTTGTGGCCATCAGCAGAATGGAGTGGCAGCCTGTCTCAGATAAAGCAAGCTCATCTGGTCACCACAGTCTCCACCACCCACTACTATCTCACTGCCTCCCCCACTTCATTCACTTGCTACCTGTCTGCTCCTGGGGGCATTTAGATTTGGACCCCTAATCTGGTCATCTCACAGATGGAAGAATCCAAGCCCCAGAGAGGAAGAGGTTTACCCAATTCACACAGCACTTGGAGCCTGGGCTCCAAGCCAAGCCCTTACACAGCCCTTCAGTGATAAGAGACACTTGTAACTTTACACTTGATGGGAGCTCAGAAAGGGAGTTCCCAGAGAGATCAAGCTAACCCCTATTTGCTGAGCACTGCCCAATTTTTGCCTCCAAGGTGGGCATCTCTACATCAACATCTCAGGTGGCCCTCCCAACGACTCTGGCAGGTCAGCCTTGACAACCTCTATCTTACACGTGAGAAACTGTTGCTTGGGAGGTTAAGTGACTCTCCCAAGATCTCACTGCAAGCTTGTGGTAGGTCTAACTTCAGTTCACTAGCTCTTGACATAAGACCTCCTGCTCTCTCCCCAAAACACCCTCTCTGACTCTTACTAGGATTTTCTTGGACTGAGGCTGGAGTCTCTGCTGGCTAAATTTACTCTCTTCCAGAAGGATTCTAACACAGGGCAGCCCAAGAGCCAAGCTGGAGTTGTCAGAAATACTGACTATAGGCCAAGCATATGCTAGATGCTTTTCACAAAGCTTCTATATTCTTTGTGTTTATCTGCATCCTCTGAATTTTCCACAGTGACTATATTTTACTTCCTGTACAAGGAATTGCTTGATCTAGGCCTGGAAATGATGCTACTGAAAGTTTGGGGAAGTTGAGGATATTGGTCCCCAACTTGCAGTTAAGGAAACTGAGGCTCAGATGGATGGCCCAAGGTTACACAGGTAAGAAGTGATGGAATCAGGATTCTGTCTGAGTCCAAAGCCTGTGCTCTTTCCATTCCACTACTCTGCTTGCCCTTTTTTTTTTTTTTTTTTTTTTTTTTTGCCCTTTTTTTTTTTTTAACACCTTGTTCCACAAAGGAGTTCAGGCAACTTATAAAAATACATTAAAGGAATCAAGCATTTATCCTGTCTTTCTTTGTACAAACTATTTCAGGAAAATCAAATAATGAATGAGGAAAAGTTATTCTTTTATTTTTTCATTTAAGTTTTTTTTTTTTTTTTTTTTTTTGCGGTACGTGGACCTCTCACTGTTGTGGCCTCTCCCACCATGGAGCACAGGCTCCAGATTCGCAGGCCCAGCGGCCATGGCTCACAGGCCCAGCCGCTCCGCGGCACGTGGGATCTTCCCAGACCGGGGCACGAACCCGTGTCCCCTGCATCGGCAGGTGGACTCTCAACCACTGCGCCACCAGGGAAGCACTCATTTAAGTTTTATTTTTAAATTATTTTTGTAATTTAATTTTATTTTTAAAAATAATTTTTATTGAAAAGTTGTTCTTTATGGAAGAATTCCAGCTAATGAATGCAAAAAGAATGACAGAGGGACTTCCCTGGTGGTCCAATGGTTATGACTCCGTGCTTCCACTGCAGGGGGCTCGGGTTCTATCCCTGGTCAGGGAACAAAGATCCCACATGCTGCTGGGCGTGGCCAAAAAAAAAAAAGAAAGAATGACAGAATTAGAAAGTCATGGGGGATTCCCTGGCAGTCCAGGACTTGGCGCTTTCACTGCCAGGGCCCGGTTCCCATTTTGCAACACCTAATGAAATAACGGATCATCAGCAGATGCTAAAACCAACAGATAAAAGGTTGATGGGGAATTCTATAATGAAAAGAGCAGGCCAAGAGCCCTGAAACCATGGATCAATCAATAAAAATATTTAAACTAAATATGTGCCGCTAGATGAGACATATTAATAAGTAGACAGCACCATCGCCAATAAGGTATTCTTGCTAAAGACATTAAACCTGAATCTAATCAAGCTCTAGATCTAACTTTCAGTTTAATGGAAATACAAGAGACAGAAGAACAAGTTAAACTACACCATCAGGAAGCAATCAGCCAAATCTTCTGGGATGTGGGAACCTTTACAGGGCAAATGCTCTGGTTTCCTTTACAAATAAATAGCATGAAAAAAGAAGAAAAGAAAAGTGAAACTGTTATAGATGAAAAGTTACTTATGACGCATATCAACCAAATGAAATGTGTGAGCCTTATTTGAGTTCTTACTGGAACAAACCAACTATTAAAGAAATTTGAACATGAACTAGGTATTAAATGATTCTAGGGAATTTGTATTAATTTTGTTAGGTATGATAGTGGCATTGTAGTTATATTTGAAAAAGCCCTATCTTTTAAAGATATATGCTGAAATAATTCCAGTGAAATGATATGATATCTGGGATTTGCTTTATAATACTTCAGTGGGAGGGAAAAGTGGGGAGGTAAATGAAACAAGATTGGCAAAATGTTGGTAATTATTGAGGATGGGTTACAGGTGCATAACAGTTTATTACATTCTCTCTACTTTCATGTGTTTGAAATATTCCATAATAAAACATTTTTTAAGGCTTAAAGTAAATAATTAAGAAAATTGGGACAAAGAGAAAATACAGATCCAGAAATAGAATAGTTCTGAGCTTCTTAGCAGCCAAAACAAAGAGGGAAAGGAGTCACGATGGCCAACTATTGAGAAAGACAGTCTCATGCCTGCAGTTTTTTGACCCTTACTCAATTATGTAAGAATGGGCCCTGAGCCTGGAACACTTCCTAACCAAGAGATAAAGAGCCCACACAGCCTGTGCTGGATTTATCACCTTGTGTGGGAGTATCTTTCCTTGTTTCAGGTGTCATGAGTACTCTTTTGTCTCTGCTTAAAGCATGTCGGTCATATGGCATCTAGCCAACCCCATGGTTATTATCTGTCCTCCTCTTGGAGGGGATAGGGTCCTTCCACTATGGCACAAGAAGGGTGAGCATAGGTGAAGTGCCCTGTGTTGATCACTGGGAGAGATCCCCCGGCAATGAGGGACCAACACCCACTACTGAAGCTGATCCTGCTGTCTCTTCCCTATGTGAGTAAAGCGTTGTTCCATCCGGTGCTTGACTGCATTGTGTCTTCCTTGACTACTCAGATACCAAGAGGAAATGGGTAGAAGTGTTTAGAGTCTTCCCCGGAGAATGATAACTGGTGCAAGGGTACTCCACTTGACACAAAGAGATTTCTAAAACCAACAAACCAGCACAGTTTCTTGTAATCAAAGAGATTCCGGTGCTGGCAAAATTCCTACTCAATATGGCCTATCAGTAGGGGGCCAGTCATCTGCCCTGATTTGGGGTATAATGAAGGACTTGCAAAGAGCTAGGGCCAACAGAAGGAGGGGAAAGAGGTGGAGAGAGGTGGACCTTGGAGGATGAGGGAAATGGAGAAGGACATGGGAAAGGCAGGGCATTCTAGGGGGAGGGTACTGAGTGAGCAAAGGCAGAGAGGCTATTTCATTTTCATAAAAGAAGAAATACAAAAAATGCATGTGAACCTGAAGAAAGCTGGTCTTTTATTTGCTCCCTCTTTGCCAAAAGAAATCGATCCAACTCCAAAAAGCACTGACAGGAAACAAACGTCTTTACCAAAGGTCTCTGGAGGACACTGCAAAGGGATTACACGGCACAGCTCACGGCAAGACATCCTTTCAGAATCCTCCTAAATCTGTCTTCCTCAAAGTTCCACACCATTACAACAGCTCCCCAAACCTCTTCCTTCTTTCTCTTTTTCCAAATTCCTGACCACCCAAACTCTGCCAGCTCCCTCACTCCCCTCCCTTCTCTCAGAAGCAGCTTTTCCTGATTGGGACTGGGCGGAAATTCCTCCAGGTCTCTCCACTCTTTTGCTTATAGGTCTATTTCTCTCCCTCTGCCCTCCTTACAAAGGCTCCTAAGCCTGGGAAGGAGGAAAAGCAGTGCATATTTACATGTGAGTATTTTTGTCCCGTGGCCTGGAAATAAAAAAAAAAAGATTGGAAGGAAAGACACCCGCATGTTAACAGGAAGATGCCAGCAAAGCTTTGGAATCAGATAAAGTTGGGTCCAGGTCCTGGCTCTGCCACTTTCTAGCTGTGTGACCTTGGGCAAGCCTCACTGGAGACATTTCTCCAAACCTCAGATTGCTGTTCCGTGAATGACTTAGCATGGTATCTGGCATATAGCAAGCGTTCCATAAAGTGTAGCTTACAAAATAAAGGAGTTAGTTACCTGTAGATAGGAGGAATATGGTGAACTTTATTTTGTCTTTATCCATATTTTTTGCCTTTATCAGTATTTAAAAATTTTATAGTAAGTACATGCTTGTAAAAATAAAACAACATAAAGATCATTATAAACACAGGTGTAGGATTAAATGTTTATCAGTAGAAGATCAAATGAATTATGGGGTACCCATATTCTGGAATATTATGAACTCCTTAAAAATGGGGTATCTCTATAAATAATGACACGAAAAAATGTCCACAGTATACAGCAAGTTGCAAAACAATATGTGGTGTGACCCCCTTTATATATATATATATATATATATATAGTATGCTACAAATAAGAAAAACCGCAGCTATCTCACCAGTGAAGATGAGTGTTTTTCATTTTTCAAATCCATATTTTTGTAAGGTTTTAATTTTAAAAAAAGACTCATGAATTACTTTTACATAAAAGAAAAACACTGAAGGGGGGGGGAAACTGGCAGGTAGGGTTTCCCGTGTGTTTCCCAGGCCCACGGCGGAACAGAGCACCAGACAAACGAAGGACCCCAAGATTCTGCGCACCTAAGTCCTATCGCTGAGCCGGTTGAGCTCCTGCCAGCCACTAGGCTGGGCAGGAAGGGTAAACAGGGCACCCCATCTTCAGCCCTCGAAGGCTCCCCCCTGCCTCCACGTCCTGTTTTGCAGACTGCAATAGAAGAGAGCCAGTAGAAATTGCTCCCTTTCTCCCCATGGGGACCCTTCTAATACCTCTGCTAAGGAGAGTAAGGTTTGCTGGAGCAGAGAAGAGGGCAGGGGCAAGAGAAGGTCCTGGGGCCTAAAGATCTTTCTAGATGTATGTGGCCTGTGGCCCCCAAGACTTCCCCGCTCCCCCAATCTTGTTGAAACTGAAGATGGGGGGGCTCTGGAGGGACCAAAGGGCCTTGCCAGGCTCTCAGGGTGGGACCCGCCCCGCAGCGTGTGGAGGGAGGAAGCTGCTGAGCCCCCAAACTCTTGGGGGACAAGCCTGAGCAGTTCCCGGAATGTGGGGAAAATGGGTGCCCTATCAGCGCTCTCTATAAAAACCATCGCCTACAGAAGATCAAGCCCCAAGATTGAGTCCCAGGATTTCCTGACTAGTTCCAAGAACCCAACCTAGAAAGTGGGCGGGGTTCCTGCCTCCTCTTCCCCTCCCCACTCAGGCTCTTCTCGCTTTTGGGTCCCCAGTCCAGGCCCAACCCCACGGCCAGCCCATTCAGCTCCCAAGTCTAGTCGGCCCTGCGCTCCCTCAAACCACCCCCAGTGCCCGCCCCGCCCCCAGCTCTGCGTCTCCCCCCGCCCCATTTCCGCTTAGTTTGCACTCCCGGCACCCCGCGCGCGCCTGGGGTACCTCCTCGGCCCGCGGCAACTCAAGCGCCGAGGCCCCGCCCTTCTGATGCCCCGCCCCAAAGCCCCGCCCTGGCACGTGCCCGCGCTTAGCTTGTTTACCTCTCAGTGCCTGTAAGGGGACCCCTCTACAGGTTAAACCCTGACTATATTATCAGCCCTTGGGACCTGCATTCGAAGTGTTGGGAAGGGGGTTCGCGGCGTTCAGAGAAGTTTGGAGAAGATGCAGGCCCGGAAGCGGAAGCAGAGAATGGAAAGGGCCGGAGGTCGGGGCAGTGAGGACCACAAAGCTCGAGCGCACGCCCACCACCTCCTTCCCTCCGGGTCGGCGCACTTGGGAGTGGGACGAGACGCTCGGTCTGGGTCCGGCGGGCTCGAGCCTGAATCTGAGCAAGGGCTGGCCCGGTGCCCGCCAGGTGTGCTGCGCGGGACTGGCGGCAGGGCGGGGTGGCCCTGGGAACGATTGTCGGGGGTGGAGGGCGAGTCAAGTGAGCTGGGAGTGCCCGGCGTAGTATCGGGAATCGAGGGTCCAGTTGGAGGTATTGAGGTGAGGTGAGATTAGGCCCAACGGCTCTCTCGCCTGGATACCGTGACCTGTCCTGGCAAGGGTGGGGAGCAGGAGGCCCAACCTTTGGGGCTGTGCCTCATTAGCGCTTCCCAGGTGGGGCGCGGAGCTCGACTCTACGCCGCCACCGTGTGGCCGCAGGGAGCAGCGCCTGCCTGGACCCGGAGACTCCTCGGCGCTGGGGCGGGGGGCCAGGCCCTGGAGACCTTGGGAGAGCCGCCCTTGGGGAGACTGACTTTCGATACCCTGCTCCTCCCGAGCTGGGTTCCAGGAATGGGGCTGAAGTTGCCATGGCGGCGGCGGAGCAGTCGCCGGGCCTTCCTCCAGCCGCTCTGAATCCTCTTCAGGACAGCGTGGGATTGTGGTGTGGACACCCATTATCCGCCAGCATCTTGTTGCTCACTGAATAAGGAGGTGTGGAGATGTGGTTGAGAATAATCCCTCCCAAAGGCAGCAAGGCCTCCAACAACCAACCAGCTTTTCCTAAGCATCTACTATGTGAAAGGCGTACAAAGATGAATAATTAAAATAAGTAGGGAAAGCCCTCTCATATTTGTGGCTCCCCACTTTCATGAAAATAACAGGTAACTTTTAGGAAGGCTTACTGTATGCCAGACATATACTGAGTACTTTTATATGCGTGATAACATTAAATTCTCACCACAGTCCTCTAAGGGTAGGCACTATTATTCCTATCCAACAGATGAGGAAGTTTAGGTTCAGAGAAGTTAAGTAACTTGCCTAAAGTCACACAGCTAGATCGAATTTCTAAGCCTTGGTTTGACTTTTTTTTTTTTTTTTTTTGGCCGAGCCTTGGGGCTTGCAGTATCTCAGTTCCCCAACCAGGGATTGAACCCAGTCCCTGCAGTGAAAGCCCAGAATCCTAACCAGTAGGCCACCGGGGAACCCCCTTGGCTTTTTTTTTTTTTTAATAGACTTTATTTTTTAGAGCATTTTTAAGTTCACAGCAAAATCGAGCAAAGATGCAGTGTTTCCATATGCCTCCTGTGCCAACACACAGCTTCCTCTATCAACATCTAACACCAGAGTGGTGCATTTGTTACAATTAGTGAACCTACATTGATACATCATTATCACCCAAAGTCCAAAATTTACATTTGATAAGCCTTAGTTTTTAACCACCATATCAATCTCCTACCCTAATTATAAGGCCACTTTGCTGAGCGGGGGATTCAACTGGGACTTTGAAGGGTATGTAGAATTTTCCAAAGCAGGGGGTAAGAAGGACATTTCAGGCAGGAGAGTTGTATAGAGAAAGATGTAGAGGGATTTTCAGGGTACTTGGCAAGTTTGACTTGAGCAAGAGGCCCCAAGCTTTAGTTAGTCAATTGAGTATCGACCTCATGAAGTTTGTCCTAAACAATAACAGCCATGAAATCATGGGTTTAGAATGCAGGTTATATTTTTGAATCCCCATTGAAATAAATATGTTAATCTTTGAAAAATATGTGGTTATATGCCACTAAAATTATCCCTAGAGCCCCCGGTGATAGTCATGCCCCATTCTGGAAAACACTACCATAGGGAATTACTGGAGGTACCCTGGGGAGGTAGGATGAGGCCACTGTTTGTTGAGCAAAGGTCATCTGTGTCCCAGGTAAGCTGCCTGCTGCTGTTCACAATTCTCTGAGCCCCAGACCTACCAGCATATTTGATCTTATCTTTCCTGGCTGGCAACACTTTGGTGGCTCCTTATTCTCTTCTAGATAGAAGAGTAAATGCCTTAACATAACCTACAAGGTCCTTGGGGATCCTGGGGTAGGCCCACCATGGCCCCATCAGGCTGGTGAAGAGGGAGATAGGAGACAGGATCTCCTGGAGGAAGTGACATCTGAGCTGAAGTCTAACGGATTTATGGGAGAGAACTAGGTGATGGTGGTGAAGAGCTTTTTTAGGTAGAAGGAACAGCAAGTGCAAATTTCCCGAGGCAGGAAGGAACAATGTGCATGTGAGCACCTGAAAGAGGCACTAGAGGAGGAGTCGGGGAGAGGAGTTTGCAGGGGCCAGACCCTGCCTGCAGTCCCTGGAGGCATCACACGCATCCTGATCTTAATGCTGTGCCTTACAAGGAGCCGTTTAGGGCCTCAAGAACGGTGACTTCAGTTACTTGAATAACAAATACTTTTTGAACACCTGCTTCAGGTGGAGCACTGGGGATTTTAATAGAAGACTCTCATGGTCCCTGCCATCAGGAAACTTACATTCTTTCACAAACAAAAGTTATACATATGCATGGTTTAAAGAAATAACAAGTATTATAAGGTTTTCTATGAAAACAGAAGGCAGTCCACTACCTTTTCCCTCATTTCCACTTTTGCAGAGGCATCTATTTTCAACTTTTTTAGCTGACTGTATTTTAGATTTATCTCCATTATCTCTAAATAATCTTGGTTTGTTTTTTGTTTTTTGTTTTTGTTTTTTTGTTTTTGTTTTTTGGCGGTACGCGGGCTTCTCACTACTGTGGCCTCTCCCGCTGCCAGCGGCCATGGCCCACGGGCCCAGCCGCTCCGCGGCACGTGGGATCTTCCCGGACCGGGGCACGAACCCGTGTCCCCTGCATCGGCAGGCGGACCCTCAACCACTGCGCCACCAGGGAAGCCCTGATTTTTGAATTTTATTTAATTTATTTTTTTATACAGCAGGTATGTATGTCAATCCCAATCTCCCAGTTCATCCCACCACCACTACCCCACCCCCCTGCCACTTTCCCCCCTTGGTGTCCATACGTTTGTTCTCTACATCTGTGTCTCTAGTTCTGCCCTGCAAACCGGTTCATCTGTACCATTTTTCTAGGTTCCACATATATGCGTTAATATATGATATTTGTTTTTCTCTTTCTGACTTACTTCACTCTGTGTGACAGTCTCTAGATCCATCCATGTCTCTACAAATGACCCAATTTCGTTCCTTTTTATGGCTAAGTTAATATTCCATTGTATATATGTACCACATCTTCTTTATCCATTCGTCTGTCGATGGGCATTTAGGTTGCTTCCATGACCTGGCTATTGTAAATAGCGCTGCAGTGAACATTGGGGTGCATGTGTCTTTTTGAATTATGGTTTTCTCTGGGTATATGCCCAGTAGTGAGATTGCTGGGTCATATGGTAATTCTATTTTTAGTTTTCTAAGGAACTTCCATACTGTTCTGCATAGTGGCTGTATCAATTTACATTCCCACCAACAGCGCAAGAGGGTTCCCTTTTCTCCACACCCACTCCAGCATTTGTTGTTCGTAGATTATCTGATGATGCCCATTCTAAATGGTGCGAGGTGATACTCATTGTAGTTTTGATTTGCAGTTCTCTAATAATTAGTGATGTTGAGCAGCTTTTCATGTGCTTCTTGGCCATCTGTATGTCTTCTTTGGAGAAATGTCTGTTTAGGTCTTCTGCCCATTTTTTGATTGGTTTTTTCTTTTTTAATATTGAGCTGCATGAGCTGCTTATATATTTTGCAGATCAATCCTTTGTCCATTGATTCATTTGCAAATATATTCTCCCATTCTGAGGGTTGTCTTTTCGTCTTGTTTGTAGTTTGCTTTGCAAAAGCTTTTAAGTTGCATTAGGTCCCATTTGTTTATTTTTGTTTTTATTTCCATTACTCTAGGAGGTGGATCAAAAAAGATCTTGCTGTGATTTATGTCAAAGTGTGTTCCTCCTGTTTTCCTCTAAGAGTTTTCTAGTATCCAGTCTTACATTTAGGTCTCTAATCCATTTTGAGTTTATTTTTGTATATGGTGTTAGGGAGTGTTCTAATTTCATTCTTTTACATGTAGCTGTCCAGTTTTCCCAGCACCACTTATTGAAGAGACTGTCTTTTCTCCATTGTATATCCTTGCCTCCTTTGTCATAGATTAGTTGACCATAGGAGCGTGGGTTTATCTCTGGACTTTCTATCCTGTTCCATTGATCTATATTTCTGGTTTTGTGCCAGTACCATATTGTCTTGATTACTGTAGCTTTGTAGTATAGTCTGGAGTCAGGGAGTCTGATTCCTCAGGCTCCTTTTTTTCCCCTCAAGACGACTTTGGCTATTTGGGGTCTTTTTTGTCTCCATACAAATTTTAAGATTTTTTGTTCTAGTTCTGTAAAAAATGGCACTGGTAATTTGATAGGGATTGCATTGAATCTGTAGATTGCTTTGGGTAGTATAGTCATTTTCACAATATTGATTCTTCCAATCCAAGAACATGGTATATCTCTCCATCTGTTTGTGTCATCTTTGATTTCTTTCATCAGTGTCATACTTTTCTGAGTACAGGTCTTTTACCTCCTTAGGTAGGTTTATTCCTAGGTATTTTATTCTTTTTGTTGCAATGGTGAATGGGATTATTTCCTTAATTTCTCTTTCTGATCTTTCGTTGTTAGTGTATAGGAATGCAAGAGATTTCTGTGCATTAATTTTGTATCCTGCAACTTTACTAAATTCATTGATGAGCTCTAGTAATTTTTTAGTGGTATCTTTAGGATTCTCTAGTATAGTATCATGTCATCTGCAAACAGTGACAGTTTTACTTCTTCTTTTCCAATTTGTATTCCTTTCATATTTTTTTTCTTCTCTGATTGCTGTGGCTAGGACTTCCAAAACTATGTTGAATAATAGTGGTGAGAGTGAACATCCTTGTCTTGTTCTTGATCTTAGAGGAAATACTTTCAGTTTTTCACCATTGAGAATGATGTTTGCTATCAGTTTGTCGTATATGGCCTTTATTATGTTGAGGTAGGTTCCCTCTGTGCCCACTTTCTGGAGAGTTTTTATCATAAATAGGTGTTGAATTTTGTCAAAAGCTTTTTCTACATCTCTTGAGATGATTATATGGTTTTTATTCTTCAGTGT